AAGGATTTGAAGAGTAATGATACGACATGCATGCTATATATTCTTGTATGATATATCTGTCATGGGGCATTGAGTGGAAATATGACTCCTTTCTGTATTCTTCATTTAAAAATGAGGAGATAATTTTATACCAAAACCACACACCAACATGGAATGAATATTTGAGAAAGAGAGAAGAGAGGGACAGAGAGGCAAAAATAAGAAGACTAAACGTGGTAGAATGAAGGAGAAAGAAAGAGAATATGCATGGGAGATAGAGAAAGAAAGAGCAATAGAAGAGAAATGGAGATAGACATTAAGAGCACCGAATCAATAATTATTTGATAATCAGGTATATAAGCTTTAATAGGTTTACAGGATAAAATAACTTTAGCAATTGAGACACAGAAGATTTTTTTTTCTGTTGGGGACCGGGGGGAAATTCAATGGATTATTGAAAATTTATTGCATTTTCTTTGTTTTGTTTTATTTGTGAGAACTGCTGCCCCCTACCCAAGCTCTCGCTGCGTACAGTCATGGTTCAATGGCCAAGCAATGGTCTCGTTACTGTGAGGCCCCAGGATCAAAACCGTGTCGATGTGCCATATTAGTGCCCTTTTGTGGGGCATTAATCGTCATTACTGTCATTTATGACTTAAAGGCGTAGGTCCCCTAGTTGATAAGCATAGTAGCATACACATGCTTTAGCAGTCACGCAAAACAAACACTGGAAAATTATTATTCAATAAATTCTGAGAATTTATACTATTATCTACATTTATTAGGAATAAATCATTGTCAAAATAATTCCATAAATTGGGGTAAAAGAAATAATCCACCTATATGAGCGACAGTATAGTTTGGATTTACAAGGTACTAAAGATATCAATCGATCATTTTTGAATAAATGTCAATCATCTTTTTTTATGGAGAGGTTTAATTTTTGCAATCTTTGATATACCAGGAAAAATACCACTTGTTAACAAATTATTAAAAATATTCCAAAGGTTAAGGTTTCGAACAATCGAATCATCTGTTGAAATACTTTACAACTTATATTATCAAATATCCACACAAATAAGTGTTCTTTTAATAATTTTACAAACAATTCATTTTCAGTCATATCATTAAAATATAAGGTTTCCGATACAGAATCACACAAATAATCAGTTTGGGACAACAAATCCTTTCGAGCAAAATTTGCATGCAAAGTAAAAGGAAATAAATTCATTTGCGATAGTTTGTTCATTCTGTATAAATTTAGCATTATTTACAAAATACTAAGGCAATGAGGGCATTCATTTATTCAATAAAGTATTGATAATTTTCCATGTACCCTTACCATTATATTCCATATCCCAAAATTGAGCACAATAAGGCCAAAAATAAAAAGTTGTTGTATTGCCCTTTGCGACTGACCCACAAATTTGAAAATCTACGGTCGGCAATTTTTTTTTTTTTTTTTTTTTTAAACCGCTTTTTAGATTTCTTTTTATTAATGAATACAAAAATATGTATTTTGTTTGTTTAAATTGGAATAAATGCATAAAATCAAATTATTCCCAAATTCTCACTCGTCTTCTGCCCTAGTTTCAAATAAATTCAAAATCCTACTAGCGTAGACCCCGGCCTCTTTTACGTGTTTATAGTACTGCACCAGCTAGAAAACTGATAAATATCAGCCAAAAGAGGGCGAGGAAAAAAAACAACAAAAAAAAACATCCTAAACTGAAAAATTGTTTTAAAAAAAATCTCTTCCGACCGACCGACCCATGTTTTGGCACCTGAAGGTAATACAAAAAGTTTTTATTTTAGGCCTAATAACGTTTCTTTGCCTTCTTTAATGAACTATTTACTATATTTCGATATGATTTAAACTTATGTTCATTTCTATAAGATCTATTACGAATAAATGTTTCATACAATTTATATTTCTTCTCAATACTCCTTAATAAATATCCAGTTACCAATGGCTAAGGTATATTAGTTCTTTTATAATTATTAAGTACAAGAGGTGAATAATTATCATAAAATCTACTTAAGAGAGTAAATACATTATACATTTGTTCTGCACTGTAATACATATACAAACATGACCAATCTATATCGTTTTAACCCCCTCTCAATAAAGTGACAGATTTCTTGGTGATTTTACGAACGTGAGACTATTAGATTATTATTGTTACTGTATTTAACTAACTCAAATAACTACAACATAGTTAATATTTCAACAATGTCAGTATTTACAGTTCCACTCGTGCATTTGCAATTTGTTACAACTTTGAAGCCCGAACGAGGCGTTTATATTTACAAATTTACAAGCGTCAGAAACTATCACTTAAACATTATTTAATTTAAGAAGATCTTATTAAAACCAACGGTTATAACAACATGCCCATGCGATAAATTACCAAATGCATCATTATAAAACTGTAAAACATTCTCAATAACAGAGTTAGGTTTTCTGTTAATAACACCTTTTGTATAATTAAAGGTAAGTATAAACATAAGATCTACTATATATATTCACAGAATCATCTTAAGAATCAAATAAATCAGTGCGAACAGTAGAAATAAAGCAAACACTACCTCCTCTACCGATTACTCTATCTGAATGTATAACAGTATAACCATCTACATGAAAAGGAACGATAGGAATACCACGAATCCAAGTTTCTGATAAAGCAATAACAGAGAATTTTGGTGAAAGTGTATCCAAAAATATGTGAATATATTCAAAGTTTCTAGCGAGACTACGGGCAGTATGTATAACACTAACGTTGATATTATAATTTTGTATATTTAAATAAAATTCAGTGGGAGTGAGACAAGAGCAATCATAATGCGAATCCAAAATCAATATATCGGGATTAACATCGGTCAATAGATTACTTATTCATTAAAAAATATCGAATCAAAGTTCTTTTGCATGTGCGTAGAAAAATATATAAAATACACATTTACACATGTGTTATGTGTGAGTGCATTCATGGGTTTTATGACATATATTTAAAGAACGACTAAAATTACTTTAACTGAACCAATAGAAAATAATTGATTCATTGTGAAATTTTTCATTAACAAACTATTTACAGGTTAAAAAGTGAAGACAAAAAAAAGAAGAAACAAAAGCGGAGGTAAACTTAAAGAGAAGGTTGAGTTCTGGGAAGAGGTGAAAACTAACTTGTGAACGTTAATCATTGCTAGTATGCAAATGTGGAAGACGATCAGATAAAACATGTTCCCTGAAAAGCATGGCTCTTCAAATGCCTTCATATTATAAATATGGCATGTAACATCGTAAAAATCGGGACGGATTTTTACTTCACGTGTTTGTGTAATCCCATATACATCTTTCTGTGTACAGTGCTTGTAACTTTACCAAGACTTGGTCAAATTTCTTATCATTTTGATGATTCCAGAAAATTGCAATACACACGAATACTTATATGCTAAATGATCAACCTTTTCTGATCGGTTCCACACCGTTTCTTTCATAATGCAATCCCATGACCAGAACTCAACTTTATCTCTAATGAGAAAACAACATTTCATAATATTTCATAATTCCATGTGTCCGTGATTATGAAAATCTTCTCAAAAATAGAGGTCTTTACAGGAGATATTGTACGGTAAAAACCGACAAGAAATAGAAGTTTATACAACAAGACGAATATAAGTGCAATATAAGTACAGATTATATTTCATGTTGAAATGTTAAGTTCATAATTTGATTTCTTATTGTACAAAATGGAGTTTGAGAGCTACATGCTATCAAGTATTGTCATCGGAATTGACTATCCTGAAATTTCATAGGGTGTGTAAATTACAAGAAATTTCATCTGACATTCTTTTTTCTCATGTGAAGGCAATCGATCGGACCCCTCCCGTCACATAGCATAAAGGGGTAAGAGAGAGAAAAGGATAGAAAGGAGGTGATCGAGAGAGAGAGACAGAGAGAGACAGAGAGAGAGTGTGTGTGAAAGGGAAAGAGAGACAGAGAGAGAGTGTGTGTGAAAGAGAGAGAGAGAGAGGGAGAAAGACAGGGAGAAGAGGGTGTGCGTATATGTATGTGTGTGTGTGTGTGTGTGTGTGAGAGAGAGATAGAGACAGGGAGAAGAGGGTGTGCGTATATGTGTGTGTGTGTGTGTGTGAGAGAGAGAGAGAGAGAGAGAAAGAGGATAGAAAATTGAAAAACTCCGTAATTTGATGACCGTTATCTCTCTTACTTCTTCCATCGACAACGAGTAAAACCTTAGCATCGATTTGGTTTCGAACCCGGGGCTTCCCGGTTACAAAACCACTGCTCTACCACTGAGCCAAAGAACGTTTGGTAAATTATTGTCAATTGGCTCTTATATCGAGTTAGTCTAGACTACATTCGTCATTAATTCTATTTTAGAGTAGATCATAAAAATACCTTTTCCTTTATATCAGAAATAGACCCCAAATAATATCCTACACTTTTTTCTTTAATCTTTAATTCTTTAATACCCCCGGCTACAAATCAATTTACATTCTCATTTTAGTAACTGCTTCGATTATACCTGACCACAGAATTGAAAATACATATTTTCACTTCTGTGCACCTGACCCATCGCGAAATTGAGGTCACACACAGAGTGTCGGATCAAGGGGGCGGTCCCCCCTCCCCTGGCAAAAAAACAGATAAAAACACGTTAATTTCACCTTTCTATGTTTAAAGAAAGGAGACGGGGCTACTCCCCTGGCATAAAAGAAAATAAAGGGGGGATGGGTAGTACTCACCACCCCTACCCCCCCTCCACTAAGCGACATATTCGTCGGCGCGATTTTCAATTTTTCAGGGGAAAAACAAATCACACAAGAAACAAAAATTAGTGGTCACTAGTGGGCACGATCCAGAAACTGGAATATGCGTTTCGAAATTCCACTCCCCCACATAAATTTGTTCATTGTACATCGTTATGCTTTAATACTTCAACAAGAGTTATCATGACTCTTTATATCAACATAGGGAAATGCTCAAGGCCACGCTTTATGTTACTAAACTGGAATCACATTATTCATTTCCCTGTTAGCCCTCATGCTTTTCTCAAACTTTGCCCAGAAGAATTCTTGTCCATCTTCATCATCATCCACCCACAGCAAGTAAGGTTTGTTCCGACTCAGCAACAGCCTTACAAGGTACGGTAGGTGGTCATCATCGATGTCTTCTAAGAATATGAGGATGATCTTCTCCAACTTGGTGTCATTCATATGCTCCACGGCCATACGGAGTTTGGTCATGAACCAGGTATCCTCCACTGACTGGTTGCTAAGCAACAAGACCGTCTTGTAGCTGTTCTCGATAACGTCATAGATGGCGTTTAAGTAAAAAGATCCTGGATGAAGGCCGTTATCCCCGAAAACGATGTGCTCCAGATGTGGCATCCTCCCCTGCAGGAATGGCTTCATGCAATCGTTAATCCACCACTCATCATCTTCACGGAACATGAGGTTAAGCTGATACTCGTAGTCCTCAGGACCTTGATTTTCAATGATTTCTTGATACCCAATGATGGCCAACTTTAAGAGAAATAGTTTATGGTTCAGCCACCATCGCTTTTGGTACGCGAGGACACTTAGCGACAGAACGGTCACGATTGCCAAAGATACACCTACAATAAGATAGATATTGACTCCGCAGTAATCTTTAGGATGGAACGACCAGATAGTCTGATTTTTTAGCGATTTGAAGGAGGTACTAGAGCAACGAGTCTCATTTCTTTGATCGGTTTCTGTGTTCACCTTGTCCAGCCATTTAATGAACCACGCAAGTTGGCAGGTACATGTGAAAGGATTTTTCGCAATGATTAACACTTTTAGACTTGTTGGTATTAGTGTAAAAGGTTCTATCGTGGAAATTTGGTTATTCTGGAGGTATAGATTCTGGAGACTGGAAGTTCCAGAAAATAATTGCTTCCCGATAATTGTGATAGAGTTTGAATTTAGTTTTAGGGTACGTAAATTCTGTAAATCCTGAAAAGCTTTCTCGGGAATTATTCTAATAAAGTTTGCGGCCAACGAGAGATATGTTAGTGACGTGAGATTCCTAAATACCCCCGGGTTAATTTTTTGTATTTGACAGTCAAACAGATCTAGGTCAAGAAGATTCCAAAGTGTGGTAAATGCGTTAGAAACCTGGTGGAAATCAACAAAGGAGTTATGTTGCAGTTTCAGGGTGTGCAACGAGACCAGTCCTGAAAACAGTGATCTATTGCTTTTAGAATGGACTAGATCTTCGGCTTTGATGTAAGTTCTGCACATGTTTAGAGTCCTTAGCGCCGACGTATAACTAAATTGGTCATGGGAAGTAACTTCTAAGCGACTATGAAGATATGACATATCGAGGAATGTTAGTTGATGCATGTTTTTGAAAGAACCTGTCATGGTGAATTCGACCAAATTTTTCATTATGATCTTTTCTAAAGAACTGTTTTCTTCAAAAGCATCAACGGATATTTTGAGAGGATAATTCCTGGTAAAATCAATACATTTTAGATTTCTTAAACCAACGAACGTATTTCTGTTCACGGAGTTAAGGTTATTATTGATTAAGATAAGAGTCTGAAGATTTGTTGCGTTCCATGGTATAGTTTTAATTTCATCAATTTTGCTCTGATAGAATGCCAAAGTGCTGAGTCTGTGGCTTCCGTCAAACCATTGAGGGTCTAATACAGAAATGTCGTTACGTGATAAATCAATGCTCTCAAGCTTTTCGGCGCAAGCAAAAGATCCTCGTGGAAGCGACTTAATTTTGTTTACAGGCAGTCTCAAATTAACCAACGACTTCAATCCACAAAATGACTCATTATGAAGACTAGCTAAATGATTGAATCCAATGTCTAGTACCTGGAGTTTTTCGAAACCATCCAGGGCATACTTTGGAATACTTATCAATTTGTTCTTTTGTAGATAAAGTTTTGTTATACCTGGAAAAAGATCTCTTGGTATTTCCGATGTATTCATGGGTACAATAGATCTTATGCCCGACCTGGTTAATGTCACCTTTACTATTGCTTTATTTCCCAGAAAGGACTCGGCGTGGAATTTAGCCAGTGATATATAGTTGATAAGTAAATGTACTGCTGGTAAATCAATGAAAACGGCACGAGGGAGACTCTTTATATCGTTATGATTCAAGTTGAATCCATCGAAGGAGCAATTCCGTAAAGCTACAAAATCTCCTTGCTCCAGTGATCCGACTTTATTAAAAGACAAATCAAAACGTGACAAATTCTTACAACCGCATGCGAACTTCCCATCTTCTGCAAACTGATTAGCTTGTAGATTGTTTCCAAAGATGTGAGGAATTCCAATGAGTCCATTATTATGAAGGATTAGCAATGATAGATGAACATTCTCCTCCAGGAGGGAAAAGGGTAGGACACTGATATTGTTGTGATGGAGCATTAATTTCTTAAGTAGCAGGAGATTATCAAACGTTTCATTCTCAATGAGGTAGATGGAGTTATAACTAGCGTCTAAAGTTTCTAGCTGTGTATAGTTCACGAACGATTTGTCGAGGAGCATAGAAATGTTATTATTAGAAACGTTGAGGGAACATAAGTCGTGTGGAAGATTCCGGGGAACCGATGTAAGACCGCGATATGAGCAATTGGCGCTATGGTACCTCGAGTTTTCCGAGCAAGTATGATTGAGAATTATGCTGGTGTGATCCATCACCACACCATATTGCAAGGTGAATCCACACAGTACTACGAAGCATATTGCATGAGCGTACACAGCCATCATGAGTTCCAACTAACAGGTCACTGATACTGAATTGATGCGAGTAAACTAAAAGAAAATCAAAGTAGCACTCGGTCCCTAAAGATGATTACGATGAGTCATCATTTTTGTTCTTAAAATGGAGCCATGGTCTTTCATAAAGAGAAATATCCGCGGTAGAACGATGAAGTCTTTGAGGGTGCTGTAGAAATCGTGTTTGATGCCTTCTCAAAATGTGCTTTTTTTGTTAAAGTTGACTGCTAAGAAAGTATATTTGAATCACATACCTAGAATATCACCACTTGATGTATTATAGTGCAGGTATTAAAGCACCATTTCAACCTTAGTCAATAGTTCCTAAAACTGTGCTCTTGACTGTCCCTCGGTGTTCTTTTTGTCCATTTGTCCTATATGGTACGCGCTTTTAAGTCTCAGTTCTCTGTAACACCATTTCATTGACTCATTTCCATTTTTGTCATTTTTCTTTGACCTTCGAAACAAGCATCTAACTTCCTTTCGCCAAATGTACAGTGTCCATGAACATTATTCACCTATGTAAAATTGCAGTCCAGAGACTCGGTTCTCGGCAGAGAATTGAGGCTTGCCCAAAATAAGATCCTTCATCAGCAGACTTGTTTGAAGATTGTTCCCATCAAAACGACCTTTCTCAAGCTCTATGAGCAAGTAAATTATTTGTTTATTCCGTTTTTCTTGATGACCCTAACCAGCATTGTTCCTCTCCCCTCATCTTGGTGTATATTATTTAGGAATTAATCCGTACAAATCAACGTGTGCTGAGTCAAAGGTGCTTTAAATTGGAATGAGACAAGAGTCGAGATTGTGAAACACCGCGAGATGCAACATGAAATGAAGCGTCGATTATTAAAGACATGTGATCAGTTTGTTAATTATATCACGTGATTAGTGAACACAAATAATAGAAAAACAACTTCAATGGGGCGGTCGGTGATAGATAAGAAAGTGGCGATGCTTTGAGCAAACAAAGAACTGTGATATAAATAGCTCTCGAGGAGAAAAACACCCCATGGATTCAATCAATGGATTCAATAAAATTGATACTTAGGTATCTTAATATTTCAAGAAACGATTACTTTACGGCCGGTGGCTATTATTCTTGGTCTTTATCTGGATTTTATAGGCGATTTTCAAGTATCGATATGTTAATTACTTTCGCCGACAAATCACCTGTCTTAAAGGTACTATGTCCCATTTGCAGGCCAAAAAAATGAAAATGGTTAAATTCCAACGGCATTTTAAAGATAATACTAATTTAGAACTTCCTTAAAAAAGGTGGGGCTTGAAAATGTCTTCAATTGGGAAAATAACGACTATTAGTTGTCAAATCGACTTAGGAGCTATAGAGCCAATAAGTAATAGTCTTGATTTTCTGACCATTGTACCGAATGGTCATACGTGTTATGCTGCGCAAAGATTCAATCAGTTTAATTTTGGCCATCACAAGAAGTGGGTTATTGATGTAGACAAATGCTCATGTACCCTTTACAGCTCATTTTATGTATGTTATTACCAAAGAAGAAAAAGAGCCAGTCAGTCACTCAATAGTGTCTGACAGTGAAGTCTAGCAAGTAAACGGGTTTCCTTGTATAATTTGAATATTAGGACACTGCTAACGTTTAAATTTCACAGATAGGACATACATGACATATTCATAATTCCTGCAAAGTTCTAGAGAATTTGTGGTTGGCTGCAAAAGGGACATAGTACCTTTAGGTGATGTTACTGTACTAATTTGTATCGAGTGAAGTGCGATATGTTCTGTTTTATTTAAAATACTTTTTGCCTTTATTTTCTTGAGGTTTTTACAATACTATTTTGCATTTATAACCAAAATTGATGTTGCTTTGTTTTGTCTGTTGGTATGTATGTTAAATTGAATTGAATTGGATTGGATGTATCTATTATCTATCTCTCTCTCTCTCTCGCTCTCTCTCTCTCTCTCTCTCTATCCTCATTCTTCCCCTACTCCTTCCTTTCACAATTTTCTCTGTCACAGCAAGATTCTCTAGGCCTTCTTTACGTGTAATGTGACCCATGATCTTCAATTGCCTAATCAACATCTCATGTATCATTTTTCTTTGCACTCCATCTAAGAACTTCCTGATTCCTAACTTTGTCAGTTCAAGGGATTTTCATCATTCTTCTTTATAACCACATTTCGCAACTTTCCAAACGCTTTTTAGTATCCGAGGCTAAAGTCCATGTTTCACTACCATACATAAGTACAGGGTAAATGTAACAATTCAGTACTCTTATTCTGGTCTTCATACACATTGTCCGATTTGTCAGAATTTTGCCTAACTTTGAAAATGCAGATTTAGCGAGAGCTATCTTTCTTGATCTTGATCTATTCATACACGGTTAAAGTCCACACAGTGACAAGACTGGATTTCGTTGGGGCCGTGCCATACATTAACAAAATAGATAAATCGAAAACATTGAAAAAGAAATACTGATATACTTATAGGCTATATGTACGTGTAGTTCAAATAATTTATTTTTTAAGTGATGGTATAAGAATTGATAACATTATACAATCTAAGAAAAAACAATAAAACACAAAACATTATTACTTAATAGATCGGGAAAAAATTCAACATTTTGGGAAATTTCGAAAGTTGTATAAATATAAAAAAAAATGTCAAGGGAAGGAAAATACACTAACCTATGAAACTTTATAGCAACAAAATATGATAAGAGATCGCACAATCAACATAACAAACACTTATGAATAACGCTTTTCTATCTAAAATACCCGGAAGGATAATATTATTCAAAATACCAATACGGAAATATCAAAAATTGTAAATGAAGAAGATTTCTTTAAAATAATAACACAACAATGAAAAACTCAAACATCACACGGGCAAACGTCTTCCCAACAGTGCTTAGGAGGGATATTCCACGATAGTTATTGCACTCACTGCGATCCCCTTTGTTCTTGTACAAGGTAATGATGTTAGCATCACGCATATCATGTGGAATCGTTCCCTCTTTCCAGCATTGGCAGAGAAGCTCATAGAGATGGCGTAGAAGACCTGTGTCCTTTCCGACTTTGATTATGTCCGATGGTATGCCATCTTTTCCTGGGGCCTTACCCGAGGAAAGGGAGTTCACAGCCTTTTTCAGCTCTTCTATGGAGGGTTCACTATCAAGATCTTCCATGACAGGTAGGCTTTCAATACTCTCAATGGTAGCTTAATTGACCTCAATATCCCGTGAGTACAGCTCTTGATAGTGCTCAATCCATCTTTCCATTTGAAGCTCTTTGTCTGTGATAACCTCCCCTGTGGATGCTTTGAGTTGTAATGTCTTCTTGATGGTTGGTCCAAAGACCTTTTTTTATGCCTGCGTACATACCCTGGGTGTTGCCGTTATCTGCAGCCAGTTGGATGCTCTGGCAAAGGCTCAACCAGTAATCGTTGGCATAGCGTCTAGCAACCCGTTTGGCATCCATCCTTGCTATTCGTAGAGCTGTGAGTGTCTTCACAGATGGATCACTCTTGTAGTTAGCGAGTGCTGCTCGCTTTGCTTCGATGACAGGCTCCAATTTTGCGATTCCAGCTACAAACCAGTCTGGGTTTTGCTTTTCTCTTTTGCCATATATTTCCATGGCTGAGTGATGGATAGCATCGCGAATGTGATTCCATCTCTCTTCAGCACTAGTAGAAGGACAGTCCTGGAGGGCCTGTTCGATGGAATCGGCGAAGAGATCATGCAAGTCAGGATTCGATATCTTGGCAGTGTTTATGCGGGGGCGACCTTTCTGCTTTGAGCGATGTATTCGCCTGGGCTGAAGGCGCACCCTGCTGGCAATCAGTGAATGGTCTGTGTCACAATCAGCGCTGTGGTAACTACGGGTGACTTGGACGCTGTTTAAGGATGAAGTTCGTGTAATAACAAGGCCAAGCTGGTGCCAGTGATGAGACCTGGGATGTCTCCAGGATACCTTGTGGCATGGTTTTGTGGAGAAGAATGTGTTCGTAATGCATAGGTCGTGATAGGAGCAGACTTCTAGCAATCTTTGACCATTTTCGTTCAGTTTTCCAATGCCGAAGTGTCCGATGCATTTGGGCCAGGAGTCATGATCCGTGCCCACCCGTGCATTGAAATCTCCTAGTAGGAATAGGTTCTCGTTGGCAGGAATGTTCGCAATGACAGAGTCCAGGTGCTCATGAAGTTCGTGTAATAACAAGGCCAAGCTGGTGCCAGTGATGAGACCTGGGATGTCTCCAGGATACCTTGTGGCATGGTTTTGTGGAGAAGAATGTGTTCGTAATGCATAGGTCGTGATAGGAGCAGACTTCTAGCAATCTTTGACCATTTTCGTTCAGTTTTCCAATGCCGAAGTGTCCGATGCATTTGGGCCAGGAGTCATGATCCGTGCCCACCCGTGCATTGAAATCTCCTAGTAGGAATAGGTTCTCGTTGGCAGGAATGTTCGCAATGACAGAGTCCAGGTGCTCATAGAATTGATCCTTAGTCTCCACAGAGCTGCAGAGGGTTGGTGCGTAACAGCTCAGGATGTTCACTGGACCTGAGGCGGTTTGCAGTCGAAGTGAGAGGATGCGTTCTGTGCCTCTGCTTGGTGGTTCAATTGAGGAGAGTAAGGAGTTCCTTACTGCAAATCCAACACCATGCTGTCGCCTTTCCTGCGGTTCTCTGCCCTGCCAAAATTTAGTGTAGTCTTCCTCTCTAATACTGCCATCTGAAGAGAGTCTTGTCTCTTGCAAAGCAGCAATGTCAATGTTGAGCCTCTTTAGCTCACGGTCAATGATCGCTGTTTTGCGGGTGTCATCAATGACAGTCGTTTACCTACGTTGATAATAATTGTTACATCGTGAACTTAGGTTCGTATTAATGGGGATATTCGTAATCTTTGACCAATCAAAATATGTGCTCCCTCTTTTTCAATTTCTTTTTTGAACCCAAACCAAACTTGAGGAGACAATCCATGAGGAGACTAATACCCTCTTTTTATATGCTTTTCTTGATAGATTTATCTGGAATGTATCCTCCTACCCCTTCTTTACAAAAGCTTTACAAAATCCTGGATACGCCCCTTTGTTTAAGTAAGTATACTAGTGACCTGTCCACGACTAATTAACGAATACATATGATTATGATACTGAAAAGAAACATAAGTAATGGACAATTTGGTTAATGAATAGTGGAATAGCTTCATTGCACGTAAAGGGCACCAACACCAAAAGGCCATTCGTCATATAACTAGATGGACGAAATGCAAATGGACAAGGCCACAACAAAGGGGAGGGAGTGGTAGGGGTCCTATCGTTTTCATGTTCACGTTTCTTTTCCTCTCTCTCTCTCTCTCCTCTTCCTCCTTCTTCTCTATCTTTTTTCCCCTTTCTCTTTTTTTTAAAAATTCGCCATGTAATAGGGAGAGGGGGAAGGAGGCCACGTACCCGCAATTGATTCACAATATATATATTAAATTAGCTATCATTCAAATTGACTAGCGTACAGATTAGAATATTTTTATTGTACTACAAATCATTTAAAGAGTATGTCCTAATTTTGGGCGGATGGAATGGAAAAGGTCCACTTTGTTATGTAGGGGTATGAAATGATGAAAGCTAAGTTATTATCCCATTGACTACTTAATTCCCTCAATCCCATAGGTTTTATACAGGAGCCATCCGGTTCCTGTAGACAATGGGGTAACAATATTTGTTCGGCTTTGAACCTAAACCTTCCCGTTCTCAAAGGTTTAAGAACAGTAAACCTTAATTCATGATATAAAAAAAGATTGTGATCCAGTTTAAGTGGCCACTTTCATTGTTTCCTTTGTATGGCCTTCAACAGATTTGACTGTACATCCAGTGTCCCAACATACATCGGGGAGACTGCTGTTAGCTATTTGGAATACCTCGGCACCCATTGTCATATCACAATTTCCTTTCGAGCCACTGTTTGGCATGCCTGATATCATATTGAATTTAACAATGTATTGCATTATTTATTTATTGAAAATTGTGAAATAGTTTTGTTTCCAAAACCTGTAATGGTATGGCAGACACGCCCTTCTGTGATGTACATCATCAACCGTTATGATCCACCAATTACAAGGAGTTTACTACTAATTTCATTCAAGTATTCAGTCCCTGTTCAATGTTCAATTTTAACTAATATTTACAATTTCACAAGACACTTAATAGTATATTTCCATAAGGGAGATGAAGAGTATTGTATATTTATGTCACAGGCATTGAAACTACATTGGTGCTGATTCGAAGTGTCAAATCGCTAAGAAGATTTGCCCTTGTCATTCAGTTGTTCAAGACCGAAAGTAGCGATAATTGTTTTAATAGTTTTCTTCCAAAGTTGATAGCGCCATCTCGTGGCCGATTCAAATACCTCAAGTAATTCAGTCACTATTGTGATCACTTAAACGCAGGGGCGTATCTTAGAATTTGTTTTAAAAAAAGAGGGGTAAATTCAAGATAAATCAATCAATAAAAGCATATAAAAGGAGAGTATGAGTCTCCTCAAGTTCGTATTGGTAACCAAAAACAAATAGAGAACATATTTTATTGGTTTACGAATATCTCCATTAAAACAAACCTAAGTACACGATCCAAAATAGTTGCCAATAATGGTTAACGACCCCTACTTACCCTAAATTGAAGTACAGTTATTCTAATGAGATGTCACACTATTGGCCTACCAAATAATATATGCTATTTATATGAATCTTCTCCCCTCCTCCCTGCCCCCTCTCTCTCTATCTCTCTCTGTCTTTCTTTCTCTCTCTCCCCCCCCCTCTCTCTCTGTCACACACACACAAAACTGTGCCTCTAATAATGAATAGGTTCAATGCTCTTCAATTTACCCCCTCCCTTCTTTACAAAATCCTAGATAAGCCCCTGTGTTCAATTGATCACACTATAGTGACGTGCCAAGATTAATTAACCGATGAATATGATCATGACATTGAAGAAAAACAAAACTAGTTAATTGACATATAATTATGATTAATGAATAGTGAAATAGCTTAGTTTCATGTGTAGAGCACCAATACCATGGAGGCATCGGTCTTATTACTAGATGGATAAAATACAAATTGACAAGGCCGCAGAATAAGGAAATGAGCTTCGTTGTCTTCTTGTCACGTTTCCTTCTATACCTTTTTCTTATTTTTTCGGTTTTGTTTTTTTCGCCATGCGATGGGGGAGGCAACGTGCCGCCCCCATATGCTCGTCACTGCTTGTGATTGTACAGCTGTTAGTGAGTGTAACTGCATGAAGAGCATTGACCCTATACCTTTGGCCAGTAACGTCATACACTTGTTTTCAGAGGATATTAAGTATATATTAACAAAACAAAATAATAAAAGAGGTACGATATCAAAGACGAGATGCGTGCCACCAGAGTCAACCATAGTTCCCTAGAGGAGCCTCAATTATATAAAGGGAACTATGGTTGAATCTGGTGCCACGCAACTCGTGACTCGTTCTTGATATTGTCCCCATTTAATTTTTGATTTTGTTATGTTAATATCGTCTGAAGAAAGGGTGTATGAGGTTACTGGCCCAAAGTATAGGTACAATGCTCTTCATTCAGTAACAACTACAAACAGCTGTACAATCCCAAGCAGTGACATATATATGTGTGACAATGTAATGATTTGAATGTTAGTCATTTAGTAGATTTTAACAAATACTGACATACACACTCACTCAGTTTCACTAACAGAGTGAGAAAAAATTATTTCTTTGCTCTTTTCATTTAAACAAAATTATATTACAAACATACAAACAGGACCACAAACGTACACACAAGCAAACAAACCGACATAAATACATACAGATTTCCACAAAACATAATAACATTTCGCATGAGGCATCAGTTTGTGAATCTTATCTCTGTTTATTATATCAACAGCCTGATATGTCAACATCACAAATTGAATAAACCATAACAAAACAAAACACGTCAGTCTGAAATACCTTGTAGTAGTACAAACAAAATTACAAGCAAGAATACAAAATAAAGTCAAAGAAACACTTTTTTTTCATGAAAAAAATAAATGTGAGAACGCACACATGTAAACAAAAATAGCATTTTCCTTCAAAATAATAATCAATACCTGCCAAGTTTACATCCAGTTATATACCAAAACAAATCTTTATACGTTTTTAATGCTTCGTCGGACTGGCGTAGGGTAGCATATTGTTGCGTAGGCTTGGCGTACAGTTGCGTAGTGTTGCGTAGACTTGCGTACAAATTGCGTACTGTCTGCGTAAATTGTCTACGCCGAAGGTAAGTGAAATGCGTTCTTCTTGCGTACCCATTTGCGTCCCTCCGCGTACAGTTACGTAGGGTTGCGTACGATCGGCGTAGTCGATACGCAACTCTACGCAACTCTACGCAACTCTCTACGCAACTCTCTACGCAAGGCCCGGTGTGAAAGCCCCTTTAGAGTTTTTAAAAATACAAAATATAAAGGGGGGAGTACATTCCAGATAAATCAATCAATTAAAGCAAATAAAAGGAGAGTATTAGGCTCCTCAGGTTCGTATTGATAACAAAACTATAATAAGAATAGATAATTTATTGAATTCAAACCCGAAAATAATAGGATTATCATAAATCAAACAACTATCTATCATGGACAGGCCACATGCAATTCTTACAGAAGAAATACAGTAGTGAAAAGAAAAAGAAACAGCATGCCACAATAACAATGTTCAATATGCTTCATTATTACGCCCCTTCTAATCTAATCGATACATTTTCATTCAGAGAAAGACCCTCTTTACCGTATGACACGCAAGCTGCACATAACAAATACAGCTGTATTACATTTTTATGTTGATTATGCCATCTCTTACTATATTACGTTGTTATAAACGTTTTACCAAATGCAGTGCAGTAATACCACTCAAGACAGGATGTTGATAGGCGAAAGTAATTGTAAATATCGAAACTTAAAAATTGCCTATTAATAGAAAATCAGCCACAGGCCGTAGATTAATCGTTTCTTGAGATAATGAGATACTTAAGTATTAAATCTATTTCATTGACCTATGGGGTGTAATTTCTCGAGAGCTTTTCCTTCATAGCGTCCTTTCTTTAAAAAAACTAAGTATCAGAGTTCCTTATTGGCTCAATACTTAGCATCGTCATTTCCTTCTCTATCAAATAACGCCCGATTTTGTTTTCACTGATCACGTAATATAATTAACAAAGAGATCACGGGGCTTAACGGACGCTACATTTCATTTTGCATTTCACGGTGTTTCACAATCTCGACTCTTGTCTCATTCGAAGTAAAACCTGAACTCAAAGATAAAGACCAGTTATTAGTGCGGTATGGTATGTAATCCCGTAGGATTTTTTTTTGCCAAAATTGTTGTTGTCTTTTTTTTTTTTTTTTTGCTCTTTTGGCTTCAAAAGGGTCCCAATTGGCCAAAAATGATGAGGTTCAAATTTTCAGACCCCTCCTTCATTTCGTGGGGGGGGGGGGGGGGGTCCATATTGGGCGCCAAAATGGCTTATATAACGCGCAATAGGGAAATTTGGTGTCTTCGGGGAAATTTGAACCCCATCAATTTCTGATAACTTGGACCCCAATGAATCCAAAAATGCAACAAACAAAAAACAAAAACAAAAAATCAACTTTGGCACAAAAATCCTACGGGAGCTAATTCAGTGACATACCGTACCACACTATATGGTTACACGATAACATTGTGAAAGAAACGTTGTTAAATCGATCAGAAAAGGTTAATCATCTAGCATATAAGTATTGGTGTGTACTGCAAGGTTCTGGAATCATCAAAATGATAAGAAATTTGGTCCATCTTGGTAAAGTTACAAGCACTGTACACAGAAAGATACGTATGGGACTACGCGAGACGTGCGTTACATCTATTAGGTCCAAATAGATATAATAATGGATCAAATACATCATTTAGTTTCTCGGCAAAATTTGTATGATCACGTATTAGTCCAAACATATTCTTTCACATGATTGGTAATTAGAGCTTCCATTTCATTTTAGAGAGGGGGGCGTTCCCAAAACTGGTCTTTACCTTTAAAGCATCTTTGACTCAGCACACTTGGCTTTGAGAGGATTTATTCCTTAAATATTATACACCACGATGAGGGAAGAGGAACAATGTTGATCAGGGTCATCAAGAAAAGCGGAATAAAGAAATATTTGACGTGCTTAAGAAGCTTGAGTAAGGTCGGTTTGATGAGAACAATTTTGAAACAAGTTTGCTGATGAAGGATTTAATTTTAGACAAGTCTTAACTCTGCCAAGAACCGAGTCTCCGGACTGCAATCTAACTAGGTTTTTATCATGTTGATAGACACTGCACATTTGGCAAAAGGAAGTGAGTTGCTAGTTTCAGAAGTCAAAGAAGAATGACGAAGCTGGAAATGAGTCAATATAATGGTGTTTACAGACATCTGAGACTAAAAAGCGCGTACCATCTAGTAGGACAAATAAACGAAAAGAACACAAAGGGACAGTCAAGAGCACAGTTGTAGGAACTACTGACTTTTCATTCCTGCGGATATCTCTTTGATGCAGTCCAGGACTTGGCCTATCGACCTTATTGGGAGGCAAATAAAAGACCATTCAGTCAACTCTTGGAGCAGCTTGGTAGGCCTAGACCAAAGGTAGAAACAGGGCTTAAATCACTCTAACTGTTACACCAAATTCTGATATTCTGGGTACGTGATACAAAAATACTTTCTTAGCAGTCAACAAGAAAGCACATTTTGAGAAAGCATGAGAGACGATTTATATATACAGCAGCCGCAACGACTTCATCGTTCTACCGTGGACATGTCCTTTTTAAGATAGGCCGAGGTTTAATTTTAGGAACAAAAAGGCTGACTCATCGTAATCATCTTTAGGGACCGAGTACTACTTCGATTTTCTTTCAGTTTTCTCGCATCAATTCAGTATCAGCGACCTGTTGTTTGGCACTCAAGATGGCTGTGTACGCTCACGCAATAAGCTTCGTAGTACTGTGTGGATTCACTTTGCAATATGGTGTGGTGATGGATCACACCAACATAACTCTTAATCATACGTGCTCGGAAAACTCGAGTGACCATAGCACCAATTGCTCATATCGCGGCCTGACATCGGTTCCCCGGAATCTTTCACACGACTTACGTTCCCTCAACGTTTCTAATAATAACATCTCTATGCTCCTGGATAAATCGCTCGTGAACTATACACAGTTAGAAACTTTATACGCTAGTTATAACTCCATCTACCTCATTGAGAATGAAGCATTTCATGCTCTTCTGCTACTTAAGGTATTGATGCTTAATCACAATAATATTAGTGCCTTACCAATTTCCCTCCTGGAGAAGAATTGTCATCTATCCTCGCTAATCCTAAATCATAATAGACTCAAGAGAATTCCTCGCATCTTTGGAAACAACCTGCAAACGACTAAGTTTGCAGAAGATGGGGAGGACGCATGTGGATGTAAGAATTTGTCACGTTTTGATTTGTCTTCTAATAAAGTCAGATCACTAGTACAAGAAGATTTTGTAGCTTTACAGAATTGCTCCTTCAAAAGATTCAACTTGAATTATAACGATATAAAGAATATATCTCGAGCCGTTTTCACGGATCTATCAGCGGTTCACTTGCTCATCAATTATATAACATTGGCTGAATTCCACGCCGAGTCCTTTCTGGGAAACAAGGCAATATTAAAGGCGACCATAACCAGGTCGGGCATAACATCCATTGTACCCATGAATACATCGGAAATACCAAGACATCTTTTTCCAGGTTTAACAAAACTTTATCTACGAAGCAACAAATTGATAACTATTCCAAAGTATGCTCTGGATGGGTTCGAAAACCTCCAGGTACTAGACATTGGAAACAATCAGTTATCTAGTTTTCATAACGAGTCATTTTGTGGATTGAAGTCGCTGGTTAATTTGAGACTAGCTGCAAACAAAATTAAAACGCTTCAACGAGGATCTTTTGCTTGCGCCGAAAAGCTTGAGAACATTGATTTATCACGTAACGACCTTTCTGTATTAGATCCTCAATGGTTCGATGGAAGCCACAGACTCAGCACTTTGACATTCTATACAAGCAAAATTGATGAAATCAAAACTGTACTATGGAACGCAACAAATCTTAAAACCCTTATATTAGCCTTTAACAACCTCGTCTCCGTGAACAACAAAACGTTCATTGGTTTAAAAAATCTTAAATTTCTTGATTTCACCGGGAATCATAATTATTTCGATTTATCTGTTGATGCCTTTAAAGAAACTATTTCTATACAAAAGATCATAATGACAGATTTAGTCAAATTCAACATGGCCGGTTCTTTCAGAAACATGCATCAACTAGTATTCCTCGATATGTCCTATCTTGCCAGTCGCTTAGAAATTAATTCCTGTGGCCAATTTAGTCATACGTCGGCTCTGAGAACTCTAAACTTATCAAGAACTAAAATCAAAGCCGAAGATCTAGTCCAACGTAAAAGCAATAGATCATTGTTTTCAGGACTGGTCTCGTTGCGCACCCTAAGACTGCCACATAACTTCTTTGAAGATTTCCACCACGTTCCTAACGCTTTTACCAAACTTTGGAATCTTCATGAGCTAGATCTGGCTGACTGTCGCATACACAAAATTGACTCGGGGATATTTAGGAATCTCACGTCATTAACATATCTGTCATTGGCCTTAAACTATATTAGAATCGTTCCTGAGAAAGCTTTTCAGGATTTACAGAATTTACGTACCCTGAGGCTAAATTCTAACATTATTACAGTTATCGAGAAGCAATTATTTTCTAGAACTCTCAGTCTCCAGAGTTTATCCCTCCAGAATAATCAAATATCCACGATATATCCTTTGACTTTAATACCAACAAGTCTAAAGTTTTTATTCATTGCGAACAATCCCTTCACCTGTACCTGCCAACTTGCGTGGTTCAGGGAATGGCTGGACAAGGTGAATGCAGCAATTGATCAAAGAAGTGACATTCGTTGCTCTAGTACTTCCTTCAAATCGCTAAGAAATCAGACTATCTTGTCGTTCCATCCTAAAGATTACTGCGGAGTCAATATCTATCTTATTGTAGGTGTATCTTTTGCAATCGTGACCGTTCTGTCGCTAAGTGTCCTCGTGTACCAAAAGCGATGGTGGCTGAACCACAAACTATTTCTCTTAAAGTTGGCCATCATTGGGTATGAAGAAATCATTGAAAATAAAGGTCCTGAGGACTACGAGTATCAGCTTAACCTCATGTTCCGTGAAGATGATGAGTGGTGGATTAATGATTGCATGAAGCCATTCCTGCAGGAGAGGATGCCACACCTGGAGCACATCGTTTTCGGCGATAATGGCCTTCATCCAGGGTCTTTCTACTTGAACGCCATTTACGACGTCATCGAGAACAGCTACAAGACGGTCTTGTTGCTTAGCAACCAGTCAGTGGAGGATACCTGGTTCATGACCAAACTCCGTATGGCCGTGGAGCATATGAATGACACCAAGTTGGAGAAGATCATCCTCATATTCTTAGAAGACATCGGTGATGACCACCTACCGTATCTTGTAAGGCTGTTGCTGAGTCGGAACAAACCTTACTTGCTGTGGGTCGATGATGATGAAGATGGACAAGAATTCTTCTGGGCAAAGTTTGAGAAGAGCATGAGGGCTAACAGGGAAATGAATAATGTAATTCCAGTTTAGTAACATATTACAAATATGTTGCTTCTTACACTTTGTAAAAGATAGCGTGTCGTGACGCGTTGTTATAACTAGACGTGCGTTAAAGAAAAAAAATCCTTGCGTCGAGATTAGTGTATATAATATGTTGGCGAATCCAACGCGACATGCGTCTTTATAGTTATGTTTGTCTCATACAATTTCAGTAAAAACTTTGAAAATACATGTAATTTGTCAAATGTTCAACTAGGAAGTATTGCAAAGAGCACACACTTCAACTCCCCCCCCCCCCGCACCAAGATGATGTTTTATTTGTGGAAGTGAAGGAGTCTGTTCTTTGTCAAGTATATAAAGGGAACGTCGCTAGAGGTGACGTCATAATTTGACCCTTCCCGAACACACACACACACACGCACACACGCACACATACACGCATACACGCACACGCGCGCGCACACACACACACACACCCACACCACCTCCACTGAAAATACATATTTTCAGTTCTGTGGTCAGGTATAATAAATGCATGTTAATATATGATTCGTTATCGGTGTATTAAAGAATTCTCTATTTGTTAACGAATTGAAAAGAGAAAGAGAAGGATATTATTTTGGGTCTAATTTCGATAAGGAAAGAGCTTTATTTATGATCTACTTTTGACAAGAATTAATGAAAAATGTAGTCTAGATTAATTTGATATAAGAGCTCATTGACATTTATTAAACAAACGTTCTTTGGCTCAGTGGTAGAGCAGTGGTCTCGTAACCAGAAGGGGGCCCCGGGTTCGAAACCAAATCGATAGATAGGTTCTACCGTCGATTAATGAAGAAAGAAAGAAAGGCCATCAAATGACGGAGTTATTCAATTTTTCTATATCTCTCTCTCACACACACCCATATACACACACACATACACACCCCTTCTCTCTCTCTCTCTCTCTCTCTTTCCTTTTTGTTTCTCTCTCTCTCTCTCTCTCGATTACCCCCTCTATGTTTCTTTCTCTCTCTTACTCCTTTATGCTATACAATGGGAGGGGTCAAATCGATTGCGTTTACATGAGAAAGAAGAATGTCAGATGAAATTGTTTGCAATGTACACACCCGAAGAATATTCAGGATAGTCAATTTCGATGACAATACTTGGTTGCTTAACAATTATGTAGCTTTCAATCTCCATTTTGTACAATAAGAAATTAAATCATGAACTTTACGTTTCAACACGACAATCTGTACTTGTATTGCACTAATATTCATCTTGTTGTATACACTTTTATAAATATTTTTTTTTTTCTTAACTGTGTTTCCAATCATTGGATAATCTCATTTTGAGATTCTGGGTAAATCTATAAATTTTCACCCATGTCTCTAGTCGCTGGTTATTTTACAAAATGTCAAATTATATAATATCCATGTATTATATATATTTTATGTTGGCTTATTTCATTGTTATTCTGTATGTCAGCACCAATGTGAAAAACAGCTTTGTCATCCTGTATAAATATTTTTGAATAAATGAATAGATCAATCAATATTCCGTGTTGGTTTAACAGTACAACTTTTCCTCTAAAGAACTCGATTTTTTAGAATTCTTTTATAATCATGGACCTATGAAATTATGAAATATTTATGAAATATTGTTTTCTCATTAAGTTTACCCCCGTTTCCCCGTTGTGTCTTCACTTTTTAACCTGTAAATAGTTTGTTAATGTACAATTCTCACAATAAATCAATTATTTGCTATTGGTTCTGTTAGAGTAATTTATGTTGTTCTTCAAATATATGTCATAAAAACCCATCAATGCACTCTCACAAAACAAATTTGTAAATATGCATGTACGTATACCTTACGCACATACATAAGTACTTTGATGCCATGTTTCGATATTCGAACAATCTTTAATCAGATGTTGATCCCGATTTATTGATTTAAGATTCGAATGGTGATCGCTTTTGTCTCACTCCCACTGAATTTAATTAAAATATACAAAATGATAATATCAACGTCAGTGATATACATTTTAATGCCCGCAGTCTCTCTAGAAACTTCGGAAATGTTCACATATTTTGGGATAGGCCTACACTGTCACCAAAACCCTCTGGTATTGCTATACCCCTATTGTTCCTTTTCATTGTAATAGATGGTAACATTTGTATACATTCAGATAGATTAATCGGTAGAGGAGGTGGTGTTGCATTATTTGTACTGTTCGCACTAATTTATTTGATTCGTGCGATGATTATGTGAATATTTATTTGTAGATCTTATGTTTGGATTAGTACAATAGGTGTTATTTACAGAAAATGGATGTTTGAAGTTTGTAAATTATTTTAAAAAAACTTTTCGTGTGGATATGATAATATATTAGTTGTAAAGTATTTAAACGGATAATTTATTAGATAACTAAACCTTTGTAATATCTTTTTTTTTATTATTATCAAGTGGTATTTTTTCTAGTAAATAAAACATTGCAAAAATTATACCTGTCCATAAAAAAAGAAAATTGTCATTTATTCCAAAACTATCGTCCAAATCTTTATTGCCTTGTATATCCAAACTATTAGAAAAAAAGTGTTTATGATTTCCTTTCTAAAAAATGATGTACCTTCTGATTGTCAATTTTATTTTACTACCCATGCTTTAATTGATTTACAGGATGAAATAACTTAATAATTTTTGTATTGAAATATATTCATTTATTCATTTATCGAAAGCTTTCAATATTGTTGATCATTAAATTCTTTTGTCAAAATTGTATTTTATGTAATGCGTGGGATCCCATTTAATTTTTTTTAAAGATTATTTACACAATCGTCTCCGATAAACTATGTTTAAATATTCTATATCCGATTTTATGTTATGACATGTGAAGTCCCCTAAGGGTCTATCCTAGGTCCCTTTTGTTCTTAATACATATTAATGATCTATATAGATCCTCTAAAAACTTAGCATATGTTATGTACGCGATGACACAACTCTTATCTTTACTCAATCGGATTATTCGGATATTAATAACGTTGAAAGTAATGTTAATGAAGAAGTGAATAACGTGGCTAAGTGGCTTAAAGCTAATAGATTAATTCTTAATCTGAACAAAACCAACTATTGTATATTTCATAATAAAAAACATACTGTTTCAAATTTGTTTAGTAATAAGCCTATATCACTTCGAATTAATTATGTATATATATATCTAAGAAAGAAGTTGTTAATTCTCTTGGTAAAATGTAAATATTTAGTTGGGATGCACATATTAATAATGTTATAAGTAAAGAGTCAAACTGTATAGGTATACTGCATAAAGTAAAGACTTATGTAACTCTTTCGATATTAATTATACTATATAATTTACTCAAATTGTTTCATTTCACATATTGTATTGTTATTTGGGGAAACTCAAGTCAAATGTAAATGAACACTCTTTATAAGTTACAGAAATGTTTACAGTTACAGAAGATAGTTATATCATCTCATTCTGTCCATTATTCTTCAGATTAAAGTGCTTGAATCTTTTCGGTTTGTTTATATTTCACAAAGCATTAGCTGGCTTCAATTTTTGTCTCTTATTGCTTGGATGTAAGATAGCTGCATTGTTCTTATTAAATAATTGAATTCAAGCTTAAAATACTAGTTTTTGTAATTTATTTCTTTAATAGTGAGTAAAAAAAAAAGTTGTGCCCCCCCCCCCCAAAAAAAAAGGTGTAAATGCCTTACATTCCATTTGGAATAATTTTCCCAGTGCACAAGATGCATAACACCTTATACGAAGAAAAAGAGATATATAGTAATGTGAATGCAGACCAACTGGGAGAGTCGGGGGGGGGGGGGGGTAGAAAGCGACGCAAAGTAGAAGTGTTGTGTGGACATTAAAGAGAGAGAGAGAGAGAGATAGAGAGGGAGAGGGGAGGGGGAGCGGGATCACTGAGAGCCCCTGAATAAAGTGTTCTCGGACCGAGACTACAATAAAGGTGCGTTGAATACTAGACTACGCTCACTCAGCGAATGAGTGTCTTGATTGGGCATCAGTACATGTATAAGAGGAAAAGGTCTTAATTTTTCATAATCATAAATCAGAATAATTTTCCGGGGAAAATGTTTTATACCTGGTTTACTGTGCTTATCAAAGAAGGATATTATACGACGACTGAGCTATCTATAGTAAATTAATAACAGCGATATCTTTTGGCTGTTTTTCCTAATAACGTGTGTTATAGTTAGAGCATAAAGGTGTTTCTGAGCTTACAATTATAAAATATACTACTATTCACATTGCATACACACAATGCAATTACAATATTCCCATTTATACCGGAACATTGACACACACACACTAATCCATTTGCTCCATTCATTTGTTTAGAACACAATTTGTTTATATAAAGTATTCAGTCACTGGTTAATTTAACTAATATTTCCAATTTTTTCTCAGCTTATTTTCACGAGGCACTTGATATTCTATTTCCATAAAGGATTTGAAGAGTTATGTATATCGATACTACATGCATGTTAGATATTCTTGTAATTTATCTGTTACGGGGCATTTAGTGGAAATAGGACTCCTTTCTGTATTCTTCATTTAAATATGAGGAGATAATTTTTTTTCCCTCTTCAGAGGTATTTTTTAGGTTATAAAATACATTTAACAACAAAATAATTGAAACAGAAATATACATTCATTTTTACAATTAGGTAAAAATCTAGGGCTCTAATGTTGGAGGGCATTTGATATAACATCTGAAATATTATCCAAACACAGTTCATTTAAAAAAAATGCATATTGCAAGACTGTTGTAAGTTTTCCCTTGGAAATAGTTTAACATGTACATTTTATATATTGCATATTGTGCATATGTAATAATTACATTTATATCTTTAGTGTTGGAACATTTAGAATCTGAGGAGATAATTATATGCCACAACCACACACCAACATGGAATGAGTATTTGAGAAAGAGAGGAGAGAGAGGCAGAGAGGCAAACATAAGAAGACTAAAAGTGGTAGAATGAAGGAGAAAAAAAGAGAATATGAATGGGAGATAAAGAAAGAAAGAGCAATAGAACAGAAAGGGAGATAGACATTAAGAACACCGAATTAATAATTATTTGATAATCAGGTATATAAGCCCACCTTTTAATCGCAAGGTGGGGGAAGTGCACTATGTTGTGTATCAGAGGTTGACATGTCCCTTATTTGCACTTAATCAACCGAATCAGAGCAGTTTGGGTTTCTAAATCATGACCCTGTTTTCCAAATGGTAGAACATAATCCTATACAATGTATGAACAAAACAGTTTAGCTAGGACAGAGTCAAAGGAAGTTTATAAAAAAGAAAAGATTAGCAAGTGGTGAGGAAGAATACCATAATCATATATTGCGTAGTAACCGTCACAATAATATGTCGGTTTAACAAAAAGGAGACAATAAATAAGGGATAGACAGTGAATCAAACATTTAATTAAACCACATATGTGTAAAATATAAGGAATGAACATTGGCAAGGCATCAATTACATGTATAACAAAATAAACATTCTTCAATTTGCTACAAGACAAAATAATACAAATGCAACTCAAAAGTTTGTAGGTAAAGTTTTTAGCTGATATTGAATTCGAACCTTCATTGATTCTTCATTGAATCATATATTGCGTAGTAACCGTCACAATAATATGTCGGTTTAACAATAAGGAGACAATAAATAAGGGATAGACAGTAAATCAAACATTTAATTAAACCACATATGTGTAAAATATAAGGAATGAACATTGGCAAGGCATCAATTACATGTATAACAAAATAAACATTCTTCAATTTGCTACAAGACAAAATAATACAAATGCAACTCAAAAGTTTGTAGGTAAAGTTTTTAGCTAATATTGAATTCGAACCTTCATTGATTCTTTCTTTCTTCTTTTTAAGGAACTATTAACTCACATTTTAGCCATTTGATGCCCACACCGAGTCCGACTCAATTTACTCCACTAGGAGTGTTGAGCCGTATGTCTTCAGATGCAGATGTCTCCTCTAATCATGAACCTATTACGGATGGACCTTCAACGTGATTCCTTTTTTGATCCAACGAGATCCGCCGCCTTCTGATTATGTGCATCTTAATGAGAACATTCAGCTGTTTTAAAAATAACGACTGCTAAAACTCTTCCGGTCATTTACAAAGGAGCAGTGTTCACTCTTGTGATTTGTTTGGATGGTGTGCTCTGTAAGAGTGTGTCTTAAATAAAAACATGACCGACGGGGAGCAGCAAAGTGGAAAAGCAGACGATTTTGGTGATATGAAATTTATTATTACTGATTCGCACACTTTCGCACACTTTCGCCCCCACTAGGGTGACGTTAGAATCTGCCCCCCCCCCAAACAAACACATACACACACACGCATACACACACATCCTTCTCTCTCTTTCTTTATTGTTTCTTTTTTCTCCCTCTCTCTCTCTCTCTCTTAACCCTTTTTGCTATGTGATGGGAGGGGACAAATCGATTGCCTTCACATGAGAAAGAATAATGTCAAATGAAATTTTTGGCAATGTACACACCCTAGGAAATTTCAGGATAGTTTATTTCGATGGCAATACTTGGTAACTTACAAATTATGTAGATTTCAATCTTTGTACGATAAGAAATTAAATCATGAACTTAACGTTCCAACATAAAATATAACCTGTACTTGTATTGCTCTAATATTCGTCTTGTTGTATAAACTTTTATTCCGTGTTGGTTTAACAATACAATTTATCCTGTAAGGAACTCATTTTTGAGAGAAGTTTTATAATCACGGCTTATTGGCGGTGGACCTCATGAGATCAAAGTGAAGAAAAATATACGGAATGTTATTGAGACGACATTGACTGAGACAATCACAATGAATTCGTCCATCCGTAAGAGGTCCATGCTCTAAGTCTACAAATCCCCATTATTGCTCTATGTCTATGACGTCACTGGACTCCAGCAGATCCCGCCAATAGGAGAGCTTCTTATAAATGAATCCAGCTGTGACTGTTGTCAAATGTGACCACACCTGGTCGCAAAGGTTAACAAAAGGGGAGAGTTTCATTTTGTGAAATAGGCCATCACCTATATATGCTAAGTATGCAAAAGATTCTCCGGTTACGTACCATGTGACTGTTATATTCTCCAGTTTCAAAATAAATGGCTGTCTTCTTACCCTTCGCGTCCACGCGATCAAAAACAAATTTGATGTCATTTAAGTCCGTCTGAAACTCGTACCTAAACTACCCAAATAAAAGCAAATAAATCCAGCTGTGACTGTTGTCAAATGTGACCACACCTGGTCGCAAAGGTTAACAAAAGGGGAGAGTATCATTTTGTGAAATAGGCCATCACCTATATATGCTAAGTATGCAAAAGATTCTCCGGTACCATGTGACTGTTATATTCTCCAGTTTCAAAATGGCTGTCTTCTTACCTTTCGCGTCCACGCGATCAAAAACAAATTTGATGTCATTTAAGTCGGTCTGGAACTCGTACCTAAAATACCCAAATAAAAGCAAGAAAAGAACATGCCAAAACGATATCCTTCTTCACAGTCATGTGCACTGCGTCAACATTTTCTCCTACCTGACTATATGAAATAGGTCATAGTCGTAATTTAAGGCCATAATTTTTGTTTCATGTTTAGCGTTCCCGTCCGCTTTCTTTTAGGGGGCCGCCTCCTTTTTTTTCTTTTCTTTTTTAAATAATTTGTTGATTATTATTATTTTTTTTTTTTAAGAAAAAAAAGATGAAAAAAAAAATGTTAAAATTATTTAATTCTAATACATCTTGAAAAATAGTCCGACCGTCAGGGAAAATGTACCGGGCGGCCATTTTGAAAAAAGGAGAAAAAAAAGGCCTCCTCCTTCCTATTTTTCAAAAAGGCAGGACGCTCAACATGTTTTTTTAAAATTATTTGGCCTAATCGAACTTAAGACATATTCCCAAGGGGGCAAAACCCCGATTTGGGACTACCTCGAAATTATGCTGCTGAAGAAAAGAAATGGTGCTCTGAACACGTTAATAACCAACGACCTTTTACAACATTTCATGCCTCAAAAACCTACTTTGCCTCCTAGGTATATGTCTTGGTGAGCTAGCGCTTCGTTACGTATTATTTCATCCACCTGTTGCGAATAACTGAATTACAATCGTCAGAATGCAAACAGCATACATGATGTGTTGATATGGCCAGGGCAAGCTTTAATAGGGACTTTTAGATTGAGTGGACGAGAACACGACGTACGCCGACTGATCATGCGTGTCAACGTACTCAACTGCCCATGTTGACTACAATTAGAAATCTTATCTTAGATAAACATGCATGCAGGAAGTAACACTATGAACATGACGGACAAAAGAACATCCCTTCACTGCTATATGTAAAGATATGTAGAACATGTGAATATGCATGTGCCACCTGTTCTACACATTTTTACATAATAGCAAGGAAGGGATCGATGTTCCTTTGTCTACCTGAGGAACTGTAAATTTTATGCGCACGCGGCATACTAGCTAGTACCGTACTAGATTTAGGAAATCAAAGTTGACGCATTCTCGATCGATGACTGAGACGACATGACGCATGCGCAGTGCCTTAAACTGACGCCACACGTTGCAATCAAAGCTGTCGACGTGCAAATCTAAAAGTCCCTATTGTCTGTCTCTGTCCAACCTTGCAACAATTAATTTGTGCAATTTGCATTGTGACTCTTGAGATTCAGGATTATGTTCTTTTTTAATGTAATAGCTCGTCATTATAGGTAAACATATTGGTAAACTAAATGCAAACAAATGGTGTCAAATTCTCACGAATGCCAAAGAAAGAGCTGCCGTAACATTTTGAAAACAATTATCTTTCCTGGGTACCTAGTGATGATTCGTTCCATTATAAACGACGTGTTATTAATGAATAAAGTACAATACCAGTCTGCATAAAATACCTATTGCCATGTCGGGCAATGCTGGGGCAAGTCTCAGGTTGTCAAGAACAACTGGAGTGAAAGCGGATTGACAATTGTAAGTTTTACTCCTTTGGAATTAATGTTATTCGTTGGTGATTCATCACATATTATTTTGCCATTTCCAATATGTTTTCTCTAAATATTACACAAAGTCTGTGCACTTGTGACAAATTGATTCAATGTTTATAATTATGTTCCTTCAGCATTGTACATTAAAAAAAAATCACTCAAGGTCCTCAAAGTCTATATTGAAATACCGCCACCTTGGGCCCGACTCATCCTACAGTCAAACAATCATAACATGGGACTTATTTGAGGACATCCTGGAAACCTGGTATTTCAATTTAGTACATAAATGAAACAAAGAGTTTTCATGAGGTGAAATGAACAGAACAACTGATGCAAGAATTAATGTTCAACAATGGTCCCGTAGGCAGGGGCGGATCCAGCCGGCGGCAGGGGAGGGGCCAATTCGTGGGAAAATATTTAGCGGCGAAAATTTGAAAAATCGCACCCCCCCCCCCCCCCCTTGAGCGCCAGGGGAGGGGACCCATCGGAAAAAAAAGGTAAAATTAACATGTTATTTCCCTCGAAAATTTGAAAAATTGCACCCCCCCCCCCCTTAAAGATAAACTTGAGTTCTGGTAAAAAAAAAGAAAATGAATTCTCACAGAATCTAACGAAACTTATACTGAATGTTCAAGATTACAAATAAATGTCATGTGCCAAAAAAATTTAGAAGAAAATGTATACTGGCTGAGTAATGAGCATAGAAAGATAAGGAAATCAGGGTAGTATTACCCCTGACACCATGTGTGTTAAATAGTTTATATTGTCTGTAATTCTGTGGCCTTCATGCTTCATATTCAACATCGAAGCTCTTATTATTCTTGCGTGTAGATCAGAGTGGGTGGCAAAATTCCCAAGTCATTCAACCTAAAGGGCCGTGAACCGCCGCATACACTGACAACGCATGGAGTGTCAAGAGGGGGCGTCATCGAATTCAAGTATGAAGTCAAGAACGCCAACAGCGTCATGAGGTACAAACCTATGAGTTTTGATAGTTCATTACACTCATATACACTAGTCACAACCACGAGACCGATATAAGACCGTCATCAGACCGAATTAGCAAATAATTACATTGCCCCCAAGAACCAATAATCTGTCGGTGTGGAGTCGATTTGGCTGCGTAACACAGGTACAAGTATGCAACCCAGATAACTTTGAGAATACAATTATTCCTCCAAAATTAGGAACATTTTTTATAAACAAAATGCAAAAAGTAAGCTAATACTATACTATTGTGCCCCTTTTACAAATCGGCCAGTGATACATGAAACTTCTTTTAATTTGAAATTATCATCAATGCTATAGGTATGAGTTTCAGACGGATTGCAATGACATCAAATTCGGGTTTGATCGCGTGGACGCGAAAGGGAAGAAGACGGCCATTTTGAAACTGGAGAAGTACAACAGTCACATGGTACCTGAGAACGGAGAAATCCTGATCTCTGAAACTGGCACATGTAAGTAAATTTACTGAAATTACTGTCGAATACTATAATATTTAGAATTTTAGTAAAAAAATATTTGGATTACTTATCAGATAATAAGATTTATAGGAATGTTTTTTGTCAATAGTGGACCAACGATTCTAGGGCGGGGATGGGGCACAATTTTTAAAAAATCGAGCAAAAAAAGAAAGACGGAAAAAAGGCATAAATGTGTCATATTTTCGGGTGCTTTTTGTCATATGTTAAAGCGTATCTGATGGTCGGCATGACGTAGGCCATTTGTACACGATGTGTAATTTGTCTGACTTAGCACTCCGTCAGCGGCTAGTGATGTTTTTTTTTGACACCTCATGTAAGATTAATGTTGTACAAGGAATAAACACTGAATGAACAATGTCAACATCGCTTCGAATTACGAGTGTACATGCACTGAATGCTTTCATTTTGTTTCAACCGTTAATAACAACTGTTTTAGCTTTTCCAGTTAAATAATTGGCCAAAACAATTCACAGCGTATAATTACCCATGTCTTTGGATTGAAGACAGTCGAAAATAATGAAGCTCCGTGTACAGGAGAGTCACCACCCTTGCACGTTAAGAAACCATTGCACTATTCGTATAAGAGTAGGGGGAAACCCTGGTGTAATGGTCCACCTTGCACACCCCAATCAGGCCGAGTATACGGCATCTGCAAGAATCTTCAGTATTGAAGGAGGCAGATTATCTTGAAGAAGAAGAAGAACAGGCACTAGTATGCTTTCCTCACGTCACGAGGTAAAATTCATTGAAATTATCAGGTGATTACCATCAGGTGACTTTTCAATATCCTATTATCCTTTCTAACAGACGTTGCACGATTTGACAACAGTCACAGCTGGACCAAATCAAAGAAGCTTTCCTATTGGCTGGAGCTACTAGAGCCTAGTGACGTAGAACCAGAGTTTCAGGAGATGGTGGAAGGAGCAGATAGCATGAACCTCAACGATTAAAGATTCTGAAGGGGGTGGTCTACAAAATGGCGACCTCGGGAACTAATGATAGTTGGATCTATAAAGCACTTTTCCTTCATGATACAGTGTATATTAACAGCTACATCGTTCTAAAAGATGGTAATGTACTAATAAGCTCCACGGTTAAATTGAATGGAGTTGAATTGAATGTAGTTATTCACCACCAGATAAACCATTGAAACAAAAGATATAGAAATATACAAAGACAATTTCAATATAGCCTAAATATCAACATGACATAAACTAAAATAAATGGTCTACAGCGAGATGAATATAACAAACAAAAAGTTATAAGTAAATTGTTTGTCAAGAGTAAAACAATAAATGACTATTTACAATGATCTTGTAGAACTATTGCTATTATGGTCAATATGAATCCACATTCGTGAAAAAAAATAATGAATATGAAATCAATAGCATTTAGTTTACTAGTACTTGTACATATTTTTAGCAGCTTCGAGTGGGGAACCGGGAAAGTGGAGTCGGGGGATTTGTTCCCATTTAAAACCCTTGCCCATAATTTTGAAATTGAGTCTGGTGTTTTACAAATACTAAGATCGACTTGAGCTGGACTTGAACCATAGCAGGCTGTTCATGCCACTGGTTGCTCTCACCATTTCTGGCATTGGTCTCTCAAGGGACGGACAAATCGTGGTCACAAATCTACAGAATTTTAATTTTTTGATATTTCATTATTGAAGGAAAACATCTTTTTTAAATATCATAATTTCTATTAAAATATGATCTAATTTCCCATCTGGTTCAAGACTTTGTAAGGGCATAAATCGGATACCGTAGTATTAGGGTGATCACACTGCCTGTGCACACAGTCTGCCCCCACGCGCACGCACACACACACACACAACAGCAGTCAGTTGGTAGAAATAGCAATTTTTGAAAATTTATTTAAAAAAAACTAAACAATATTTTTAAATTTGTATTTCAGATATATTTCAAGCGTACATTTAACTACAATTATGTGTAGTTTCATTGTTATAGGCATGTGGGAAATATGTTAATTTATTTAATTAGAATATTGTCTTTTCAGCCATGTGTGACATGGCCCGCTGATCGCCCTTTGACTTGCACTGTTATTCTGCGTGGTGAAAATGCACCTCAATGTATAAAACTCCTCTACAAAAAATGCAATATCCTCATGTGTTTCACTCATTGAATTAATTTGTTGTTTACACTCAAGGTAGCCACAACTGTACTGGGATCACCAATTTTTTTGTTACTCTAAAATTCAGTCCCTGTGGAATGTTATGGCCTGTTCAATGGTTTCTCGGAAAATCGTCATAAATCCTCAAATCTGACATCTTTTAAAAAGACAAATTTACTGTGATGTAGCTGAAAGTCTGCAAATTTCTTATTATTTGATCGGTTTTTCTTAATAATTTGTGAAACACATGAGGAAATAGCTGTGACAGTGATCCAATTAATTTCCATCGCCACCGATGCACGCCACTGCATTGGGCCAATTTGGGTCATTTGGAATTTAAGGTTAATATTTGGTGTAAATATGATCTATAAATATATGATTACACAAATAAACAGTTTTGACTTTCCTAATTCTCGCTACCCCAAATAGCGATTCTGCCGAGATCCGGGGAAAATCCTGAAAACGCGCATTGCATTATGGGATAGCTTTTCGACATTACAGCTTCCTGTGCAGGCGGCGCGATAGCGCAAACGTAAAACGCCGTCGCCACACAACGTGTATGCACCGAATATTTCGTCTGCTCGGTCTTGTTTTTTTTTTTCCGCAAATATTTCAACGTTTATTTGAACATTTCATTCGTTGTTTTTTGCGTCTTTTGACATCAGTGACGACGGTTTTCTTTTGTGAGGCTGCACAGTGCTGGGCTCATGATTCCAAGCGTAAGAACCCTGAAAAATGGGGGTGAATGAAGGCCGTGACTTGGGATGGGACTCTATACCGGAAGTTGTAGTGACGACCCGAGAGAGTGAAAATTACCTCATCTCGCGAATTTCGAGATTTTCGTACCTATTTAGGGTAGCGAGAATTGCATTACGAGTGCGCGAATATATAATTAGCTGAAATGACCTAATTTACATATTTGATGAAGATTCATGATTTTTTTTTTCCTTCAAATAAAATATATTTCCATACCTGTCTGATATACATAGGTTTCTTTAATGTATCATGTTCGGTTTTGATTTGATTACATATGCGCATATTAATTAGGCGGACTTAGTTATTTTCACAACTTTTTCACATCTGCAGATTCGCAAAAATTGCAAAAATTACTTATTTTGTTGGCTTCTGTTTTCAAAACGGTAATAGTTATATATATTTTTTTGTTTGTATGTTTTACCACAAAGATGATATTTTAGTGTCTGATTATTTAATTTATTATTTGTGTCCTAGAAAGTGATGAATTAAGTTGTCAACCTCGTCGAATTTTGCCATTTTTGCCAATTTAACCATTTCTGGCAGGTTTTTCGGTAATTTTGCGATATCCAAAAAATGGTGTAAAATCACAACGCATTGACCGATTTCAATTTTTTTTTTTTTTTTAAAGCTTGATCATTTGCAATCATCAAATAACATGTGTTTGGTGTACTTATTTTTGGTGTGCTATACCTAGTAGTATAAGTCCAAGTCTTAAATATAACTTAAGTTTACAATGCAAGTAACTTTTTTTCTTCGACAATAAACTATAAAAAAAATGTAATTCTGTCGAGTTCTGACGTCCCTTGAGGGACCAATGGTGAGAGCAACCAGTGGTATAAATGGCCTGCCATAGTTCAAGTCTGACTTTAATATCAGTCTTTTCTTTGTGAAATCTCCTCCTGGCATATTGATATCTAAAATCAGTATAAATTATCTGTAATTACAGGGGAAAAAATTAAAAAAGTTGGTTTGGTAAAATCAGTAAAACGTGACATAAAATCGAGAAAATAAATGTAGTAGCAGTGGGTGACTCAGATTTAAGCAAAAGTGAAATGTGTCGTGTGAACCAGTTTATCATTTATAGACATTTGTATTGTTTTGTGAGTTTTATGACGAATTAGAAAGTTTGAAGTTCTTTTGTATTTGGTTTGCAGTTATTTATAATACAATGGCGTGGTATCAGAAGTTAGAACTATTGTTTTGCAAAGCTAGTTTTTACTTGTACACAATTCTCTTATACACTGCTGCGAATGTTGAATCCCTGAAATAAAATTCAATATGTTTATTGGATCTGTGTTTTTACTTTGACTCTTGATTGAGTATCACAATATAATTGTCTTTTCTAACTTCTATGTTGCTCCATACTTATTTGCCCACCTTTACCACCCCGCTCCCACACCCTTCTCTCCCATCTCTCTCTCTCTTTCTCTCTCTCTATATATATATCTATCAACATTTACTTAATGTGAGCCTGTTTCTAAGAACGCGGTCGCGAATATTTTCGAAAAATCAACTCAACTGTTATTTCAATACTCTAGTGTATATCCCATATAGTAATTAATGTTCGAAATATTTCACTGTAATTTTCACATATTCAATAAATGATGAACGAGGCTTTTGGAGTTGCTTTAGATTGGTTTTAATTTGATTTGAATGCCAATAATCAATTCCTGGGACATTCGTTAGGACCCCCCCCCCCCCCCCCCCCCCGCACACACACAAACAGAGGTATCCAAATACAGAGTATTCATTATACGGTAATCGTTTACTATTTGGAATGCATGGTCATTTTTAATAGTTTGGAAACCTTAACTGATCTTATTAAGATTGATTAATATTGTCCATAAAGACCTCCTCATATGTTATCATACTACAGATACAAACAAATTATTGTGCACTACCATCTCTGATCTTTGACCCCCTTTGCGATCACAAGATGGGTTTATCAACCTGGTTATCCGATAATTATTGACTCGTCAATGTCGTCATACTTAAACGCGATAATAAGTTATCTTTGATCTTATACCGTGGCTCAAAATTTATAACAGTTCTCAACACAGACATTCATTTGTTCGTTTGTTTGTTTCTTCGATTGATTGTTTAAGACGGTAGAGAGCTATGAATAATTCTGAGTTTTCAATTGATCGATAGAACTTTTAAAAGCAACACGCATCCAAATTTAAGGTAGGATTTTTATGGCTGATACGTGAAGCGGATCATAGTCGTTGCTCCCTGGGAAATCACGGTACCAGGATCAGTCCTACTTATAGAAGTTATCACATTAAGAATAAATCCATAAATGCTCTGAATCAACGAGGCAGTGAGTCTGTGGAATCAAGAAAGACACACATCAGAAAGAGCCGGAGAGTCTACAGATTCAGTAAAATTATGAAGCTGAAACTGGAACTTGATATCACATAAATTATTGGCTCGCTAAAGTGAGAATTTCCGTTTTAGACATGAGCGGCTTCCTGAAAGACCTCACTGAAAGTCACAAGGAGAAATTGAAAAAGGTATAGTTTGTTTTCTTCTTTTAATCATAGATTTCTTGCATTTGTATTTGTATCATGAAGCCTATGATACATATATAAAAATTATGTTGTGTATGCACACAACATAGTTTGTTATTCTAATTCACTGATATGCTCGCTTCGCAGTCAATGGGTTCAATTGAGTTTACTCTATCTAAATAACATTATGCTTGCTAAATTTGTTGTCACGTCGAGTAAAAAATAATAATGGTTGACATTTATAATGCGCCATGTCTGTGAAAATTGACACTCCTGGCGCAGTTGTGAGGAATTGTATAATTGTGGGAATCCGTCTATCAAGTAATTCAAAAAAGAAAGCAAAATACACATAATTGAAGTCTTTATTGAAGAGACATTTCGATATTACTATTTGAATTTACGCCTATGCTTTCTTTTGCAAATGATTGGGCTTAATTTGGCTTGCTCTATTGCCTCATTTGGTATCAGGTCGAATAACAATCTCTACTGAAGTGCCATTTTATGATTGTTATGCTGATTGAGACTATTGGCAAGTGGAATGGCTAAATACTATTTATGTTTGCTGTGAATAACTGAATGTCATTATTATTGGAAACTTGTGTTTGTTAATAACATTTTTGATGTTGAACTCCAGTTAAGATAATCAACATTTCAGAAAATTATTTTGTTTTTGTTTTTATTGCACTAAGGCGTTTTTGTTGTTGTTGTTGTTGTTTTGACACTGTTATTTTTCACTGACCAGTTTACAGGTAATTTGCTCTCATGCTTTCTTTGCTGTGAATAACTGAATATTATTGTTATTGGAAACCTGCGTTTATTAATAACATTTTTGATGTTGAACTCCAGTTGTTTCACTGATATGCTCTTCCATGATAAGTTCAATTGAGTTCACTCTGTCTACAATTGTGCAGGTGAATCGTGTGATCGCTCGAGTTAGTGCCGCGTCGAGTAACTATTTCTATTCGAGTGCCATTTGAGGATTATTTTGATTTACTAAAGTGCCTTTCTTTTGAAAGTTGTTGAGTTTTATTGGGCTTGCACTATTTAGTTAGTTGCAGGTGAGTCATACGTTTGCTTTATTAAAAACTGGCCGTAACACTCGCTGATTAATTGCCATTTTATTATTGTCATGGTAATTAATACAAGTGGCATGTTGAAGGTCTAACTACTGATTATATTTACATGTGATTCATATGCTTGCCTGATTTGGTGTCACGTCGAGTATCAATCTGTTTTTTGTCAGTGTCATTTCAAAATTACTATTCATTAATGATAAGCTTTTGTGCTTTTAGAGCAAATTACTTATAAACTGGTCAATAAAAAAAAACAATGTAAAAACAACATCAACAACAAAAACGTCTTAGTGCAATAAAAACAAAAACATAATAATTTTCTGAAATGTTGATTATGTTAGCATTCATACAGTATGGTTTATGTACAATTGTCTCTTTTTTTCTCTTGCATGCATTCATTTAAATTAGTTCAAGGAAATTGTCGCAGATATCTTGAAACCAGAGCATAATGATGTATTATTACTGCGATTCTTACGGGGTAAGTCGAAACGATCATTTGTTTTTCTGAAATTAGTATTGATACGAACGCAAATATTTTCGAAAAAATCAACCTGAGGTGATTTCAATAAGCTTGTGCGTTATCTATTAAAATGTCCGAAAATTGCACGAACATGATGACTACTATGCAAATGATTCTGTTTTTGTTTTATTCTATACATTCATTGGCGTATCCAAGGAGGGGGCACTGTCACGATAGTTGGCAAAATCTGATCTGGGAATTTACTTTTTTTTTTAAATGTGCCCCTATTTTGTGTCCCGACAGCGTTTTGAGACACAGAGGGTACCCAACATTTTTATTATTCCCCTCTTTGTGTATATATTGCGGACGTGCGTGTCCCCTCCCCCTGATATTCTACAAGGTTTGCTATACTGTTCGATTCATGAACTTGTGTAAAAATATTTTTCTGGTCTTTTTCTTCTCTTTACTTCTTTCAGCAAGGAAATTTGACCTCAATAAGACCGAGGTGATGTTCAGAAACGTAAGTTAATTGGCCTGACTTCATGCCAGATAGTCCAAAGTTGTGTGCACAGTAAGATATTAAAGATAAAGATCATGATATATATTTCTCATTAAGAAAAAAGTTATAGTCAATTGACTCAACTTGTGTTAGGTTAAATTTCGTGTGAAAGTGCGTGGCAGTACGTTTAATTTTTAAGCGCGTGAAAAGTTTTTAATTTTTTGTTGTTGTAATGGACTAAACAAAATACAGTTTGGTAAAACTTTGTTTTACCCAAAATTCAAACAGTTCGATTTAAATGAAATTAAAAGTTGAGAGTGCTTGAATCCCCCCACCCCCACACCCCCCCCCCCTCCCGATCCAAGATAATTCTTGATCCGGTACTGAATTTCTACATATCTTCCATGTTTTTTCTATTTTTATGAAACTTATTTTGTTCGATTATTCCAATTATTTAGGATGTTACTTGGAGAAAAGAGAACAACATCGACACCATTTTGGAAACGTTCGAGGTCCCTGAGGTAAAACTTTGCTGTCATTTTTCTTCTGATATTCAACAATTTGACTACTTTACTTTAAAGTAAGCTTACAGTCGCACATAGGAACATTTATATAAACCTACATGTTGTATTAACAGGACCGTTATATATAACACTACATGGTGCATTAACCGGACTTCATAAAAATACTGGTATGTTAACCCTAACCCAAACCCTAACCCTAAATTCAAAACAATTTAACTAATTAAACTAATGACTAATGATGAACAATTTTGTTTCCTGGCAGGCCTTTAAGTTCCTCTGTCTGCAAACGTACGTAGAGGGCAATACTTCTTTTGGTCAATCGTTAACAGGACCCGAAAATGTCCGTCTTATGACGCTGTAAGTTGTATATTACTTTAGGCATCTTAAGACGGACATATGGAGTCAAAAAATGAGTCATTAGCATGACAAGTTCGTGTCCCTTTTACGACTGCACAAAAGAAATATTGCTCTTTACGTACGTTTGCAGGCACAGATAACTGTAAGTCCTCCAAAGAAATAAAAGGTTCAATAATTAGTTTAATTGTTTATATTGTTTTTAATTTAGGGTTAGGGTTAGAGTTAGGGTTAGAGTTAGGGTTAGGGTTTATAAACCAGTTTTTTTTATGATGTCCGGTTAATATACTATGTATGGTTATAGTTAAAGATCTCGGGTAAATAGAACAAGTTGCTATATATCTCTCTTTATAGGTATTTACATTTTTATTTTTATTCTCGCCTCATTTAAATCATTACAATCATCTAAAGAAAATGTGTGATGAGAAAGTGTCATCTTTGATATTTGCTTTTATTTTCCCTCATTTTCTTAAGGCCTTGAAAACACACTGGTGTGGAGGAGTATCTGGATTGGACAAAGAGGGCCATGGTGTTTATATATCACCAATGGGTAACTTCGATCCTAAAGGTATTCATTGTAAATTGAGAATGTGTGAAATATGTCAAACTTCTACATAGGGGGTTAGAAACACTCATGTTTGATCACAAACTTATTCAGTCATATTGCTACCAATGCCATCACGAGATCACAAAATCAATCACAAGAAAATCATGTCTGAATAATATGATGACATTGTGTGATCCTAGATCGAGGGCACAGGGGGACTTCCCGGCAAACCAAACCTACTTTTGATACTTAGCTGTACAAACGTGTAGGCCTATACCTACACATATGCATCCCTCCTCAAACAGGCAAACTATTTTTATTTTATTTTTTTTTGGGGGGGGGGGTTGGGGTGGATATATGGATGATGAATCTTCCACTGAATAAACCACTTAAACTGGTTTTATGGTTGATTTTAGGAGTGTTATATTCAGCCAAGACCAGTGATATCCTCAAGACCTATGCCCATTCACTTGAGGACCTGATGCACAGCCATAAGCGTCTTTCAGAACAGGTATATTTAGTGGCGTAGAAATGGGGGGGGGGCGTCCCCCATCGAATACAAAGAGAAAAGAGATAAAAGTAAGAAAAGAAATAAAGACAAACATGCAGAAGGGAATGAGGAAACGCAACGTGGAAAGAAGACACCCAACTACACCCGACCTTTACTCTATGAACATGTTGTCTTTGACTATACTTTCTATTCTCTTCGGCTTTATTTTGTCATCCATATCAATACCACTCTTCCTGAAGGCCCTGCATATAGATGAAATTTTACCGAAAAGAACGGACAGTACATAATGCATTGTTATTATATTTCTCTTAGAGAGAATTGAAGCATACTGAGGGATCTTTGATGATCTTTGACATGGAGAACCTTGGAGTACATCATCTATGGAAACCTGGTATTGATATCTTCCTCAAGGTAACTACCTTCATTCATAATTTTTTATATTTTTCTGGTGCGTTTTGATTGATTGATTTTATTATATTGTCCTTGCCTGAAATCTTATGGAGAAAGAAATCAATCTTTCTTTCGAAAAAGAAACGACATGAGTATGACATGATGGATATGCCTACAATCGAATTTGATTCAAATCATTAATAATAAGGGGTAGCATAAATAAACGAAAAAGGGACCTTAAAATGTCATGGTTAGGTCAGCAGCCCACTAAGTGGCGATATCAACAGTGAAAAGATTAACAGTTATTAATGATTTTCTCTGTGCATTAATATAAAATGGAAAAGAGGCTCGATTAACCATGTTCCTTGACCGTGGGGCATTGTCAACACAATGAGGGGGTAGGGGGAGGGGTGGTGGTGAAACCGGTCTTAGGATGTGGATGAAATGTCAATTGACAGAAACACCGATTAAATGGACGGTTCGGAGGGGATCTTTCATTTCCCACCCTGTGTGCGTATGTGTGTGTGTCTGTGTTTCCCGCTCTCTCAGTGTCGGTGTCTCTCTGTCTGTCTTTCTCTCTTCTCTTATTCATTTTTTTTTTTTGGCCTTTTGATTTGGCCTCCTGCCCAAGTATCTACGCCACTGATCCTTAACAATTGCGAACACTTTAAAGGGGTTAATTGCTTGAATATCTTCAAAAATTCTCATGTTTTATCTTATCGAAAGATGGCTGTCCTAGCTGAGCAGCATTATCCTGAGCTCATCCATTGTATGTACATCATTCGTGCACCTATGGTATTCCCGGTCGCTTACACCATCTTCAAACCATTCCTACAAGAGGAGACAAGGAAGAAACTACACGTTTTAGGAAGTGAGTTTAAAATCAATAAATGTTTACAGAAATTAACAAAACTTTGATGATGATGATGATGATGGTGGTGGTAATGATGACGATGATGATGAAAATACGATTAATTGATGGTGGTGCCATCTTATTTTTACTTGACTGTTATGAAAAAAGTATTTGCGTTTAGATAATCAACCAGTGGGCTACAATTTTAAGTCCTATTCGAGGGACTTACCGAAGCTTCCTTTCTGATTAACAAGTTTTACCAATTTCTCCAATTCTATAAGGGAACATACTTAGTTTAAAATTGGATCTATTCTCAACAATACTTGGGGTTTTATCTTACATTTCCAGATAACTGGAAGGAAGTTTTGTTGAAGCAGATAGACCCCGATCAGCTGCCGGTTTACTGGGGAGGAACCAAGACAGATCCTGATGGAAACGAGATGTGTATTTCACTGGTAAATTGAGATATCATTTTTAATCCTATTGGTAGGCGATCCAAAATCAATAAATTAATAATTTGCCATAGTCATTTGCTTCATGGGTACGTAGGATTATCTCCAATATTTCATCCCACATGAAATGTTTGTATTATCTCACCTGGTTGTTATGTGGATAGGTGATACTTTTTTCTTTGAATTTCCCTTTAAATTAACACATATCAAATTCTAGTATTGGAACAGTTTATTCCAAACTTATTGCCATCTGGTATATTGTATTACATTGATTGTTTACTGTCTTTGTTGAAGCCCCCCCCCCCACCCCCACGTAAAATAAAACCGCAAGGGAGGGGGTACTATTAAACGAGAAATGCAAGTGAGGAGGAATTTATTTACATCTATTTGTCAAATGCCTTGTTCATATAATTATTATGTGACCTAATTATATTAAATCTACTATTCTTGGTTCATTTTTGTTATGTTCAATTTTTCCTATGAACATGGCATAGATCAGGACTGGAGGCAAGATTCCCACCTCTTTCTACCTAAAAGACCGGGAGCCGCCCCACACATGGGCTACCCACCAGGTATCTAGGGCAGGAGTCGTGGAATTCGAGTACCAGGTTACAAAGCCCAACAGTGTATTGAGGTATTAGGTATAAGTTCCACCAATAGACAATAGGCATAAGTTTCAAACAATGGTTGTACTTGAAAAATTGAAAGCATACACGGTGCTTGCCAGACACAGCAACAAGTAATGTAAGCAGACTTGGTTCCAAATATTGTAGTTCATTCATTAACCAACAGCTTAATGGAATAACTCGTCACTAGGTTCCCAGGAAATAAATTTCAATAAACTAGAATATGTTAGTGAACCGGTCTATTGTTTCAAAAATGTTAAAGCAGCTTTTTCTTTGGCATTCATGGGCATTTGACACCTATCTAGCCTATAACGGACATCAGCCGTGTTCACACGATGGCAATTTTGGCTGGCGTTAAACTAGAGCTAGTCGGCAATAGTATGGTAAGGTCGGCGTAAAGGTCGGAGTAGTGATCGTCTGAACGATAGTCGTGTTAGCTACGCCGTCCTTTACGCCGACTGATTTACTCCTGGATTTTTCCAGGAGTAACGCGCTTACACGACTAGAGGATAGCGTAAGTTGACCGTGTGAATGCTCTCACTAGGCACTCGGAGTATATACCAGGGTTGTTTGTTTACAATCGAAAATGAAAAAGTAGATTTCGTGCGGTTTCGATGCAGAAGCTGGGTTGAGGTCGGCTAGTGCGGGCGCCACCACTTCCAGCAGTTATGCTGAGATATTACCTTTCAAACTGAATAGATAATACATTTTATATATATACGTTAACCTAGCGAAGAGCTATTACATTCACCTGTCATTTTTTTTTTTTTTTTGCATCTCAAAAGTCAGAATGCACATCGCATAAAATAGTTGTTGCTAGGTAGGACAAACATTGTAGATTGACCTACCAATTAGCACGTAGTGTATGCTGTTTGAATTCTGATTATTTCAATACGATTATTCGCAACAGGTGAATGAATTAATAAGTATCGAAGTGCTAGCTTATCAAATACTTATGACGATAACATATTATTTGTATGCGACCATGTGGAGGTAAATGCTGACGCATTGCACACGTGAATAGCTATATCGTTTTGACATGGTCTTTTCTTGCTTTTATTTGGGTATTTTAGGTACGAATTCCAGACAGATTGCAACGACATCAAATTCGGCTTTCATCTCGTGGACTCGAAGGGTAAGAAGACGGCCATTTTGAAACTGGAGAAATACAACAGTCACATGGTACCTGAGAACGGTGAAGTCTTGATAACCAAACCCGGCAAATGTAAGTGGGCGACTGTTTCATTATTTTGATAGTATTTTGCATCATTCCACATTTTCTTCCTTTGCATGAAGCCCATTACACAATGGAAAATAAAAATCGGAAAGTAGAAAGTCGTATGTTCATATATAAATTTTACCTTCATATTCTCGTTTATAAAGGATCGGATTTCTTATTTACAATGAGTCTTTATCTTTTTTGATCACATTTTGAGAGAGCATACAGTTTGTGAATGTATTATAACACCTATATTACCTAACATAAATTACGAAGCATATAATGCGGATATATACGCCTACTTGATCGATCTTCGGCTTTTCTTGTTATTGCATCTTTTGCATACTTGGGGCCTATTTAATAAAATACAACTTGTTCCGCTTTTTCCCCTTTACTACCAGGTGTGGTCACATTTGACAACAGTCACAGCTGGATCCAATCAAAAAAGCTCTCCTATTGGCTGGAGCTCCTGGAACCCAGTGACGTCATAGACATGAAGCAAGAATAGCGGGATTGATAGACCTAGAGGAGACATCTGCATATGTAGGCAATAAAATAATAAAACAATAAACCTACTTTTCAAAATTCTGTAGCACATGAGCCTTGAATACCTTAGGATCTTGAATGAAAAATATGATTTCAACTGATTGTATCAATAATTAAACTTCCCTATCGTTTCCAGTTGATCATTTCTCTTCCGAGTTTAAGTACATTTACACAAGCGTTGGAGAAATTGCTGAAATATGAGTTAATAGTTCCTTAGAAAGAAGATAAGAAACAAAAGATGAAGAATCTAACTCAATATTAACCAAAAAACTTATAACTAAATGTATAAACTTTGAGTTGCCTTTGTATTTATTTTTCTTCCAGCAAATGGAAGAATGTTTAAAAATACAAAATATGTAATTGATATCTTGCAAATGTTTATTCCTTATATTTAGCAAATATATGGTTTAATTTAATTTTTGATTCACTGTGTATCGCTTTACTATTGTCTCCTTATTAATAACAGAAATATTGTGACGATTACTACGTAACATACGATTATGGTATTTTTCCTCACCACTTGTTAATCTTTTTTTTAAAACTTCCTCTGATTCTGTCCGAGACTGATTTGTTTTCTGGCACTTCTGTTCATACACTGTATAGGATTATGCTTACTATTTGGTCCGCCCCCCCCCCACTCCGGGGTCGCAATGACCGCATGCGTGTTACCAAAATGTCCGGTAAAGGTTTTTTTTTTCCTGCGACAAAGTCCGGCCCGAGAATTGTAAGAAAAGGGGTGTATTTGACTTTCACCCGGAGATTTCTTCAAAAAGGGGGTGTTTTTTCTTTTCTTCTCTCATCTCTTTGGACTACTGAGAAATTATTCCGATTTTAGGATGGTAAATTGAGCATTTTTCCGAATTTAGGGGGGGGGGAACATTGAGCATTTTTCCAAATTTAGGGGGGTCTCCAAAGCAGGAAAAGCCCGCGAAAAGCCCGCGAAAGGGGGGTTCGGAAATGTTGGCAGTCCTCAGATAGGGGGTGCTTTCAAAAAGAGGGAACAAGCATATGCGTACCCTAAATAACACTGAGTGGGGGTGATACACAAAATAGTGCACTTCCCTATCTAAACGTTGACCCCCCTCCCCTTGCGATTACAAGGTGGACCTATGTACCTAATTATCAAATAGTTATTGACCCTATCTCTATTTATCTCTCTGCCCCCCTCTCTCTATCTCCCTCTCTCTCATATTGCTCTCTCCCTTATGCTCTTACTTTGTCCATCATTCTACCGCTTTCAGTCTTCTTATTTTTGCCTCTTTGTTTCTCTCTTCTATGTTGGTGTGTGAAAAAAAACATCTACTAATATTTAAATGAAGGATACAAAAAGGATTCATACTTGCCCTCAATACCCCCATCACAGATACATTACATGCACAGATAACATGTATTTAGTATAGCTCTGACAGAAATAAATATTACTCTTCAATTCCTTTATGCCAAGCAGAATATTAATTGCCTTGTGAAAATAAGCTGAGAAAAAAATGGAAATATTAGTTAAATTGAACCAGTGATTGAATACTTTAGATTTTAAAAAATGTGTTCTAAACAAATGAACAGAAATAATGGATTTGTGTGTGTCAATATTTCGGTATGAATGGGAACATTGTAAATGCATTGTGTGTATACAATGTGAATAGTAGTATATATTATAATTGTAAGTTCAGAAACACCTTTATGCTCTACTTATAACACACGTTATTAGGAATACAAAAACCAGAACATATCGCTGTTATCAACTTACTAGTTCAGTGGTCGTCGAACATCCTTTTTCCCAGGAAAATTATTCTGATTTATAATTATGAAAAATGAAGACCCTTCTCTCTCATACATGTACTGATGCCCAATCAAGACTCTCATTCGCTAAGTGATCGTAGTCGAGTATTCAACGCACCTTTATTGTAGTCTCAGTCCGAGTAAACTTTATTCAGGGGCTCTCAGTGATCCCCCTCCCCCCCCCCCTCTCTCTCTCCCTGTTTCATGTCCACACAACACTTCTACTTTGCGTCGCTTTCTACCTCCCCCCTCTGATTCTCCCAGTTGGTCTGCATTCACATTACTGTATATCTCTTTTTCTTCGTATAACTTAGCTGTAATGCATCTTGTGCACTGGGTAAATTATTCCAAATGGAATGTAAGGCATTTCTAACTGATTTCTTTTGGCAAAACTTGTTTTTTACTTTCCATAAATGAAATAAATAACAAAAACTAGTATTTTAAGCTTGAATTTCATTAGTTAATGAGAACAATGCAGCTATCTTACATGGAAGCAATAAGAGACAAAAATTGAAGCCAACTAATGCTCTGTGATATATAAACAAAACGAAAATATTCAAGCACTTTTATCTTAAGAATAATGGACCACAATGAGATGATAAATACCTTATGTAACTGTAAGGTTTTTCTGTAACTTATAATGAGTGTTCATTTTCATTTGACTTGAATTTCCCCAAATAACAATACAATGTGTGAAATGAGACAATGTGAGTGAATTATAAAGTATAATTAACATCGAAAGAGTTACATTATTCTTTAATGTATGCAGTATACCTATACAGTTTGACACTTTACTTATAACATTATTAATATGTGCATCCCAACAAAATATCTACATTTTACCAAGAGAATTAACAACTTCTTTCTTAGATATACATACATAATTAATTCGAAGTGATATAGGCTTGTTACTAAACAAATTTGAAACAGTATGTTTTTTATTATGAAATATACAATCGTTTTGTTCAGATTAAGAATCAATCTATAAGCTGTAAGCCACTTAGCCACGTTATTCACTTCTTCATTATTTTTTTTTATTTTTATTTATTTCATTTCCAGGCAAGATGATAACATACAAAACATCACAAGGTTAACAAATGATAGAACATACTGTAAACATAATGATATTTAGCACCAGCCAATGCCTGAGGATCACCTAAAAGAATTTAAAAAATTCTGTCGAGAGGCTCTCCACATTGGCTCATTAACATTACTTTCAACGTTACTAATATCCGAATAATCCGATTGAGTATAGATAAAACTTGTTTCATCGCGTACATAACATATTCTAAGTTTTCAGAGGATCTAAGTAGATCATTAATATGTATTAAGAACAACAAGGGACATAGGAAAGACCCATAGGGGACTCCACATGTCATAACAGGAAATCGGTTATAGAATATTTAAACATAGTATATTGGAGACGATTGCGTAAATAATCTTTCTTTTAATTAAATGGGATCCCACGTATTCCACTGAAATACAATTTTGACAGAAGAACTGAATGATCAACAATATTGAAAGCTTTCGATAAATCCATGATCATATTCCAATAAAAACAATATTACTTTCAATTGCTCAGATTATTTTATATTGTAAATCAATTAAAGCATTAGTTGTAGAATGTTTTTTTCTAAAACCAAATTGACAATCAGAAAGTACATCATTTTCAGAAAGAAAATTATTTGAACAATTATAAACACATTTGTCCAATGGTTCGGATGTACAAGGAAATAAAGATATCAGTCGATAATTGTTGAATAAATGACGATCATCTTTTTTATGGACAGGTATAGTTCTTGCACTCTTTAATTTACTAGGAAAAATAGAACTGGAAAATTTAGTTTTATCGAATAAATTATTTGTTTAAATACTTTACAACTTATATTATCATATCCACACGAATAGACGTTTTTTGATAATTCACAAACTTCAAATAATTCATTTCAGTTATAGCATTAAAATAAATCAGAAATAATCAGTATGGAACAACGTAATTATTCGAGAAATATTATCATGGAAAGTAGAACAACAAGACATAGAATTAGACAAAAAAAATCATTTGCGATAGTTTGTTCATTCTGTATTAATTAACTCATTATTTAAAAAATACAAAGGCAATGAGGGATTCTTTTGTTCAATGAAATATTCATAATTTTCCATGTACTCTTTACATTACTTTCTATTTCCCCCAAATTGAGCACAATAATATCGTTGTTTTGCTATGATAAATTATTCACCTTATTTCGGTATGATTTAAACTTATATTCATTTCTATGAGATCTATTGCGAATAAATGTTTTATACAATTTATTTTTCTTCCTAATACTCCTTAATAAATATCCAGTTCTTTTATATTTATTAGGTACAAGAGGTAAATATTTATTTTATAATCTACTCAACAAGAGATTTAAAAACATTATATATTGGTTCTGGAGTGTAATACATATACAAACATGACCAATCTATATTATTTAACCCCATCTCAATGCATTGACAGATTTATTGATGATTTTACGAACATGAGATTATTAGGTTACTATTCTTAATGTATTTAACTAACTCAAATAACGATAACGATTCGATGATTCTACTGATTTTTTTTCTCATGCAAAACATAATACAATTTTTAATCATATTACAAAAATATGCAATGAAACGACAAATATAATAGATCTGCAATGTCAGTATATATAGTTCTACTCGGGCATTGTCATATTAGTAAATCGGAGAATAGCGTTGAAAGGAACCATACTAAACACTATGAACATGACGGACAATGAAAGCGGACAAAATATACAGTTCCTCAGGTAGACAAAGGAACATCCCTTCACTGCTATTATGTAAAAATGTGTAGAACAGGTGAATATGATGTGACACCTGTTCTACACATTTCTACATAATAGCAGTGAAGGGATGTTCCTTTGTCTACCTGAGGAACTGTATATTTTGTCCGCTTTCATTGTCCGTCATGTTCATAGTGAAAGCTTTTCGACTTGCACTCATCAGAGCAAAACGCAAGAATGAAACAGAAAGCCGAAATTGATCAATATAAACGAAACTTGTTTCTTTTAGTTTCCGTTTATATTGATCGATTTTGGCTTTCTGTTTCATTCTTGCGTTTTACTCTGATGAGTGCAAGTCGAAAAGATTTAGTATGGCTTTTTTCAACGCTATTCTCCGATTTTGTAATACTAATCATTTTTCATATTAGTAAATATATTTTCACTATTATCTGTAATTCGAGTTGGGATTTAAATTAAATTTTGAAGCCCAGACGAGGCGTTCATATATACAAATTTACAAGTGTCAGATATAATTACTTGAGCATTATTCAATTTAAGAAGATCTTTTTTTGAAAACAACGGCTATAACAACATTTCTATGCGATAACGTACCAAGTG